TTGTGGGGTTTAGGGTGCGCCGGTGGTCAGTGTGCACAGCTACTGCTGGAAGGACTGGGGTGGCGGTTGGCGTTCCCACTGGCTATCAAGGTTTAGGCTGCACCCCAAACCCTCCACAAGCACTTCTGATAAGGCTAGGATTTGGCAGCAAGACTGGAACAGTTATTGCGCAACCCAATGCATTGTCCAACCCCAACTGCGACTGCCAATACCGATTCACTGCCTATCGATTGGACAACGCGTGAGCGACTGAGCCCCGTTTCGCTGGGCGGTAAGCTAGCGGGGCTGGATGTGACGGCCCAAGTGGCGCCACCGGCGCTGTCTGTTTCCTGGCATATGTGGCGCATGGTCGCGAGCAGCTGACACAGCGAAGTAGTAGGTTCATTGGGACCCAACATTAAATCCTTGTATTTATCGAAGGCGAAGGGGTGATGTGCACAAATCTAGGCCGAATCTGCGCATCAGTCATTGCTCCCACCCTTCAACGGCTGTCTACGAGTAGCCGCTATGGGGTGAAGGGGTCCCGTGCATGTGCACAGCAAGTAAAAAATTGATCCGGAATGTCGCCAATCATGCGCAAAGCCGACCGAGCAAACTTTGCAGCTAACGAAGCACCCCATTTGAAGCGTGCCTTACGGCATTGTGCTGAGAATGCACCAAACGCAGAAACTGAAAAATTTTCATTTAAATGAAAGGATAACAATGCTGCCTTGTGCTCTGAGCAATACAGAGCGTGGGGTAGGTGCTGAGTGGCATTATGCTTTTCGTTTGTGTCAGGATTCTCAGAGAATTTGGGATGAGGCCCGCCACGCTTAGTTTACGTTGTTCTTCTGATTTTTGGCGTATCACGGGTCGGTGAGCTATCTTACTGCATACTGCTGCGGAGGTTTGTCATTGAGCGACAGCACGCAGTATTGTGAGCAGCTGCAGCAGGGAGGAAACCGGAACAAGCGAAACTGCCGTTCACATCACCTCGTAACATGTACAGGATCACTTGCTGCCACTGCCTCCATCACATATCCCCCAGGCAACCCCTGGGAAAAACTAAGGAGCCCCAACCCGTCGCCCTTACCCACCAGATAGCATCGGAATTCCTTCTGAAAGCTACCACTGGGCCCATCAGGGCAGCAAACCATGTTCTATCTCGTGTTCAGCATTTCCACATTTTCTTGCTGAGCTGTCTGTACCAGGCCTGATGTGCCATCGCCAAGCACAATCCTCTGGCAGCCGGACAAAGCCTCACAACCTTTAAGGTACCAGGATCCCCCGATGTGCTTTACCAATGGAATTTGGCTGCCATCCTCATCTGAGGACAAATAACCTACTTACAGCCAATCCCACCCTACTTGGAAATCTGAAACCAGGTTCAACCATACAGCTTGTGTGCAACAATAAACAATATTATTTCACAAACAATAATTTTCTCGCCAAAAAACAACCAACTTTCAGGCAGGAGATCGCCAGTACAGAATCTGCCGCTCGCTAAGTAGGCTTCTCATCCCGACTTGCGCCTTGCACTTGATTCAGTATTCGCCCTCCAAGAAAAGGCACTGAACTCACTTTGCCCTGGATTCGATGAATTATCCGCCAATGTACTCCATTGTGTTTTTCCGCGGGTGTTTTTATCGCCACCCAAAATAAAAATCCCCTGCAAAGTGCGCCTGGAACAACACCACTTCAAACCCGGCTCGATCGCTTGCTGAAACTGTCCCCAAATCAAGCAAGCTCAACTTCAAGGGTGGGGCCGTGGACGCCCAGAGGCAAAGAGAACATGGTCCAGAATTCTGTCAGAAACCCTTTTTTTGGGAAAGCGGTATAAGGGTTCAGAACTTTACAGTAATTACTTGTACTAATTTTTACTGAAAGGCGCTCAGAATGCTCGCCGTCCCAATGCCATCAGACAGTCTAAAACTACGCTGTTCGACAATCTCCAGCACTCTCATGGTCGCCCCCGCTGCCGTCACCGCCTCTGCAACCGCCGCTGCCATCAGCGCCACCACCACTGCCGCCAGCACTAACGCCGGCAATGGGGCCGGCATCGGGCTGAACTGACAGAGCGGTGGTCAGCTGCAGCACGTCCACCCTCCCTGGATGGGCCTCCAGCAACAGGAGCGCGGCTTGCACAGGATTCAGAATTCTGAGCAGCAGCTCCTGCAGTCCTTCTTCCTCAACACGCTGCTCCTGCTGGATGCTTCCTTTTATTTCTCCCCATATCGACTTCATTTCCTGGGAACATCTCCCTTTCTCTCGAACAACGGCTGTCGCCTGCGCGTCAGGTGAAGCCAAGAAATCAATCGTTTTGAGCGCAAGGTCTCCGCCATCGCTTCATCTCTAAACTGCCCCATTGATACTACAGCGTAGGCACATCCGAGAACCGAGTTCTTCGGGTTTTCGAAAGCTTTAAACATTTGGTAATTATGGAAAGGGGGGGACATGAAGAAAGAAGGAACGAAAATACATGAGGAAGCAACTGCAACTGCATCATCATCGAAACAATCTAATTGGACACCAGTGGGAGCCAACGGACCGCGATGGTAGAATTCCAACGAACGCAACTGCCATCCATGGGTGGCAGCAGGTAGCACCTGCCAGAAAGCTACCTGATGGTTCAGCTTCTCTCTATCTTCTAAAATCAGTTGGAGCCTTTCTCTGCTGCTGGATTTCAGCCTGTCAATCGCAGATTTCTGCGACTCCGCCAGCGCCAGCGCCTCTCTGCACCGACCCCACTTGTCCACCTCCTGACGACTCATGCCTGTCTGCAACTCTCCCTGCCGTCCCCAGACCATGTTGGCAGGGCTCGTCGTCCTCAGTCTGACGGCACTCGCAGCGGCGCCCGCCGCGCACGTCACCATCCGACTCAGCGCCGCGGCAACGCCCTCACCAGCCGGGTGATCCCCCGCCTCTATCGAATTCGCCTCCACAAAATCGCGAAGCGACCGTATTTGGGACTCAATCTCCGCCGACGCGCCGGCAGCCTCCTCCAGGGCGACCCCTCCCGCCGCTGCGCCACGTGTCCCCGCGGAAGCCGCGCGTCTCAGCTCGTGGCCAGGCGAACCTCCTCGAGGGGGCCCGGACGGCCCGGCCCCCGGCTCCCCGGCGGGCCGCAAGGCACCGGTGGCCGCTTCCTTCCCAGGCTGCACCGCCAGGCCCTCCAGCACCTCGGGGAAGTCGCCCCGTCCCCAACCCGGAGAGGACGGCGCGAATAAGCCGTAAAGCGGCGGGCCTTCGGCTTCGCTGTGGGGATTGACCGGGTCGGTCTGCAACCGTGCCGTCATTCCTGGGCAGTACGCGTGCGACGCCGCCGCGCCCGGCCACGAGTCGTGCCTCCTCACCCACCCGCTGGGAGCTCCCCCCCTTGATGCCGGTCCTTCAGACCGCGAAGACTGGAGGCCGAATTCTGGGGGTGGCAGAAAGTCGGGCCGGCCGACGAAGGGCTGCTGCGGAGCGCCCTCCTGCGGCCAATATGCGGGCTGCGCCCAGGGAGGGTGCTGCGGAGGGAGTGTGGTTGAAGCTGGCCCGGGCCTGTACATACCACTCCATGGTGGACTGCCTCGCGCGCTGAAAACCGTCGGTTTTCAAAGCCTTCCGCATAGCAACGTAACGTTTGGCCATTTTTCCGGATGTAAAACAAGAAAATAAACAATGTTCTTTTCATGCAATTTCTGCGGAGCAACGTAAGAACAATAAACACAACGGCCTGCAAAACAAGCGCAGCGCAAAAAGGGCAACGGTAAAATCTTCCGATGCGGAAGGGCTCAAAAAACCTGCGGTGCGCGCATTGATGCTTATGTACAGTGGCAACAGATCTCGAAGGGTGCTCAGGCAGAAGTCCACATCGCAGCGTCGGGCGAATTGGCATTGACGATTTGGGGAGAATGGTCCACAAGGTTTCAGTGTTTCTATTTCTGGGGAACGCTGTTGTCGAATCGGGCTGATCAAGGCGTGGACTTGCAGACAAGTCGCCCGCATGCGCAATGACTCAAAAGGGACCTGTGCAATTAGCAATACACAGCGCCCCGGCCACCCATCCGTATTCGCTATTGATACACGTATTCACAGCACGAATTTCACTCGCGGCGGCACATTGACGTTCGGTCAAGCTACCGGCCATAACCAACGAATGCGCTTTTATCACAGGGAGGATGTGACGTCACCACGGCGGAACTGGGAGAATATGCACAGACAGTTGCGTGCAAATGTCTGCGGATTTAGTGCGTAATAGGTCTGGAGACCAGGCGCGAGGAGATCCAAGTGCAACTCCATGGGGCTCACCCACAATCAAAATGTCAAAATTCAAGGGCTGGTGAGACAAATTTCAATGCCCCGGCTTGAGCGGTGTGCATGCTGAAATTGAATGCCATTCGATCCAGACTGCCAAAAAGGTTCACATCAGACTTGCAGTTCTGCCGTTGTTCCCGTCACGAATACCCAAACACCAACGGCGGCAAGCATAGAAAGCGCCCATCCCTGACTTACATTGGAGCCAATTGCACGCTTCCTTCTCCGCCCTGGAGGGATTTTATCAGCTCCCTCTGCTCCATTACAGCCGCCTGCAGCCTCATGTTTGAAATTTTCAGCTGCTCGTTTTCGCGTTGCAGTCTATCCAAACCCTCAGATCGCCGCTGCAGATTCTCAGCCTGCGCTTTCAGCTGCTCCATTTGCTGGCGTTTGCGATCCCTACCAAAACGTGCACAAAACAAACTTTTTAACGATATTCCTGCCAAAGTTCAGGATGTTTTGGAAAGCCCTCTGAGAAGCAACATCGACAAAAGCCCTCAATATCCTCCTCTGAACCTATTTTGCACTCAACAGATTGTTGCTGTCCATTCCATTACAGAATGTGCGTTATAATATCGCGCTTAATAATCGCGTAATAATAACGCGATTTCCCAAAATTCGTGAGCGTCACTTCTTCCTCCCAATTAGCAACGCCCCCTCCGCTTCCCTGGTGGAACCACTTCACTTTTCTGGTGCCTGCGGACCCCTGTCGCACCTTTAGCTCAAATCCTTTGATTAAATTTGTCACATGAACATGACAAAACACTACCCTTGCACCTGTAGCGTTTCTGGCATATCTTGTTCAGTGCCAGTTGGCGTGGCGTGCGCCGCCTCTTCGCCTTCTCCGCCCTCGCCGGAACATCTCCAGGCTGCTGCGGCTCAATTTCGGTGGAGGGCGCAGCCTCATCACGTAGTGGCCGTTGGGGCCCGCCTGCCGCAGGACGGTGGGCGGCAGCTGGAACGTCCAGGGCCTCTCCGCCTTGGCTGGGAGTTGAAAGGTTTCACGTTAATGCGGTTCAGCCACACGTTCAGCGCAAGTGTTCGGGGAAATCCATCGAGAACACCATTGCTGGAAAAGTATGATACAAGACTCAGTACTTGATAGTACTTAGGAGACCATTGACACGGCGTTGGACGCGGCCGATGCGCGCTGTGGAGCAGCCCCCTGCTGAGGCGCGCAGACCACTGGAACCAGTTTTCGTGCTTGGCCATGTGCCCATCGACCCCAGTTGGGGCTGCGCATGTCGCGTCCACGAACGCCCAACAGCACTGCCGGGCACTGTACCAATCCGCTTTGCGATTGATTGGCCAATGACACCATCATGTTGTATGTGATCACTCTCACTGGTGTTCTGAGAGAACGCCCTGCTCAGGGCCGGGCAGCTGAATCGCGGCCGCTAGAATGTGCCCAATCTCGGGCATCGCGCACCCGAAACCCCGCAATGGGAATGGCGTGAGCGCTGGACTACAAACCGCCCAACCCGTCGTTCCCATTGTCCCAATGAGCGCACGAGCAAGCTGCGTCCGCACAACGTCGCCCGAGCACGACGGACCCACATCAAAAAAACGGCATTCCGATGTGTTGTGTGTGCACACGCGCCAGTACCCTCACCGATATGCTCCCTCCCCGCCTTCGCTGGCCGTACCCCCTGCCCCTGGCCACAGCCCACACCTTGATTAATGGCCCGTCAATTGCACATCTCACTGGGGCAAATGAGGGCGAGGCCGCTTGCAACCCCATCCCAAGGGCGTCCGCGCCGCGACGTCGACCGTCGCCACGAGCCCCTGCCGCGCCCGCCGACCACTCCGTCCGGCAACGGCGCTCGTGCAGGCGCCCCCGCCCCACATGCCGGGCCGCAGCCGCCGAAACTGCATCTGAGCCATTTGAATGCGATCGGCAGGACAGGTGGTCGATGCGCGTGCGCAGTCGTTCCCCGGGGCGCAGGCCGCGAGTCGCCCCGGCAGGGCGGGGACGGCAGGTCCGAAACGCACGCGGTGCGCTGCGGCTTGTGTTTCCCCTGGTCTTTCGCCCACCTTGTCCTTCCAGCCGCCAGTCCAGGGGCCCGAGCAGCGCGACGAACTCTGCGAGCCCACGCTCATCCTCCTCCGCCTCCAGGGCCTCCTCCTCGCGGCCAGACGCGCCTTCCATCGCCGGCGGGCCGCCTCGCCTCCGACGGCGCCGAGGGACGGCTGCCCGCCGAACTACCTTCTTGCACGCAACCTGGAGGGTCTTTTCCCTTCGCCTTGGCGCGAGCACGCCGCGGCGAGAGGCCGGCCGCGCGCGCGGGCGGCCCACCCGGCGTCGGCCCCCCCCCGCCACGAGGCGCGCCAGGGCTCGCTGCGGAAAACAACGCGGCATTTGTCGACACCATCCGCCATTCCCGCGACCGCATCTGCAAGCATACCGACGAGGACCCCTTCCCCCCCCCTCCCCCACCGCATCCGTCGCCCGTGCGGCACCGGCAAATCGAGCCCCTACCGCATCCGCCGCCGCCCGTTCGACCGATGCTGGAAGGTTTGTCCGGAGCGCAGCGCAATCGCGGACCCGTCGCACCCAACAGAAACTCACCGTAGGCGATCAAAGCGGGTGATGCGGTCCTGGGCTCCCGCCCGGTGTCGCCGGTCCGCGCCCGGCACCGCCGCCGTCGTGGGCCGGGCTCCCCACCGCGCGGCGCCGCCTTCCACCCACCGGCCCGCCGCATGCCGATTTGTACGAACTGCCTCCCTGGGCTCGCAGGCCCCAATGCCGTCATGGCTCTGGAGACGGCTCCCCAGAAGGCGCCCCGTGGGGCAACGCCATTTTGTGGCCCGCCGCGGCCCAGTGTTGGATAAAATGAGTCCCAGTTTGTCACCGTTTGGGGGCGGTGACCCCCGCCGAATGGGCGTATCCAGGGGGTGGATCGACTGGGATTTCGCCGGGCTGGGGGCCGCTATGTACGGGGGGCGCTTAACGCAGTGGTGAATCCGTGTTACGAGAAGCGGGTGCCAGGCTGCCGGCAGTGCGCATCCGCATTGCGGCCTGGGGCAGACGCGGTGTCATGGGGCCCATTACGGCAGCGGGCGGACGGCGGACTAAGCGGCTTTCGTACGCAAGTTGCTGTGCCAGGTTCTCCGTGGTCGGGAAGTTCATGGTGTCGGAATGGGGCTGGTGCGACACCGTGAGGGGACAGTGACTGCCGTCACAGTGCCGTGAGGGGGGTCGTGGGGGCGTTGCTGCTGTGCCGGTGCCAGACGCTGATGACGATCACTGTCGAGAGACTCGCGAGGGTTGGCGCCTTGTTGGCAGTGAACACGGAAGGCACGGTCATCTGGAGGTTGCGTATCCTAAGTAGGCACTTCCAGCATGTGGTCATGTCCAGGATATGGGCACCCGTATCCTGGATGTGGCCATATCCTGCCACCGCATCCGGGGCACGGTGCGCATATCCAAATCCGTATCCAGGATACGGGGCCTTCTGCCAACACCATGTAGCCCTGCATTGCCCTGCCGAGGTGCCCAGTTCGCCATCCAGTGGCCAAACAGAAAGTTCCAGTGTCCCATGCAGACAAGAGCGATAATCTGAAGACCTCGACGCAAAACTGTCGCAGATGCGCACAAAGAGCTGCCACATCAGCCCGTGACGTCAGAGCTGACTAAAGTGGCATGCGCGAAACGCCGCGATAATCGGCAATCCGGCCAACGCCGAGCTAGAAGCCACCATTACGTGGAACGTGAGATGAACAATGTCAGCATATATATACCGTCTCTGGTTCCTTTCCTCTTATATGAGAGGTAAGGAAACACTGTTCTCTCCTCGCCCACGTTCGTCGTAAGGAAGCGCATGTGCACTTGTGTCGCCGGGATCCGGCAAATTGATGTCCACTCATCCTTGGTGTATTGGCATCGATGCAATGCCGATCAGCTAGGCAGCAGGTCGCGTTTATCAGCAACACCATGGTTGTGCACGTCAGTGCACTGTCAGAATCCTACGCATTTCACGCAGTTTCTAATTAAGTTCAAATTGTACTAATGTGCGATCACATCTTGATCTACCAAGTGTGTAATTGGCACCATTTTTCTTCAGTTGTTGGCGTCGAGCTCCACTCATGTGGGCGCATCCATACATGGGCCTTCCTGCAGTGTCCGTGTACATTGCCTCAATGAGGAGGCACCAATACTGTTGAAACACATTCTGCCCGAGCTCCAGATGGTGGTTGAGCACGCTACAGTACGGCGTTCTCGCAACGAGTGCTAACAGCACATCGACTACTATGGGGAGCCGTCGCACTGTGAATACTGTGGATTCTAATTCTCCGGACCAGCCCATCCAGAGCACTGGATTGGGTTCCGCCTAGCCCAGTTCAGACAATCTTGTTAATGTTTGTATACATGCGCAGGCGCAACTCGACACGAAAAGAACAGATAGACAATGCACTTCGCGAATCACGAGCAAGGTGCCCCATGTTCAAGAACCACGCCTTTGGAAGGGCATTGATCTCGTGCCCTCACAGACAATGCTGTGGTGTTGCATTTTGGCAAAGAGGTCAAAATGCCGCATTGCGGCTCCATTTTCAATTCTTCAGGCAAAAATATTAGTCCAGCATGCTGTTCTTTTCTCTCCTATGTTCGTGCTTATTTGGATATACTCATCCCTCCAACGTCAGAAGAACTCATCCTGTGGCTCAATCTTGAGAATCACACACTGCAATGTCAGTCGAACCATGCAGGCAAAGAGTTGTGTGTATCATCCTCCAGGGCCACACATTGCATACCATCCTTCACTCCACACTTGTGCCTTCGATTGACGCTAGCGTCATTGCCATGTTTAGCACATTCACATCCCCGGCGTAGGCGTCTATGACTAGGATGGCGGCTTGCAATGGATCCAGAAGGCTTAGCAGCAGCATGTGAAGACTGTCCAGAACAATTTGCCGCTCCCGCTTTGCGTTGCGCTGCATTCGCCTCTGCAGCATCTCCATTGCATTTTGGGCGTTCGGGTTTCCACTACAAGCGCTTGATGCCTGAACAGCACGCAGTCCATCAGATACGCTGCGGCCCTTGTGCATCAGGTTACTTCTTAGCTGCTGGTTGCAAGGTGTGATGAGAAAAGACAAGGGAATTAAGATGTTTGCTTTTGGTGTCTCCAATTTTCTTGCAGAGCAAGCACCGTCGACAAACTCAGGTTGCAGAATTACCCCATTGGTTAAGATTGAAGCTCTTCGCAGGCAATGTCCACCACTCTGTGAAGCAATATGTGCCGCACTACGAGCAACTTACTTGATCGCTGAGCCTTGACCTCTCCTCATAGACGTTGGCAAGGTGCGCAAAATGTTGCTGTCTCAATCTGCAGATCACTTCCCTCTGCGATTGTCTCAGATTCAGTAATGCCAGGCAGTTCCTCATCTTCTGTAAGTCCCTAGGGTCCTGATGCACCGCTGGTCCATGCAAAAAAGTGCAGGTATCAGACACTTCTGATGTGGATGTTTGTGCAGCAGCCTCGAGAACTCCTGAGAGGCAGTATCTCAAATCTTGCTCGAGCTCATCTGGCAGCTGGGCACCGCTCCTTATGCAGGCCGTATTTTGGGACAACAGCTTGTGAATAGCCTGCACTTCTTCACCAATACGCGTCATCCATTTTTGCACACCTGAGGCCTCAGCGCCATTGCCCGCAAGACCACTCGACGACCTCGAGACCATGTCTGCTTCCTTAATATGCATCTCGCACTCCGTTTCAGGTATCTCGGAGCGTGCATTACAAGGATCGTGTGTGATCTGATTCAGTCCATGCATCAACTCCTGGCGGTTGGATTTGCGTGCCTGCTGAGCCTCAACCATCATGATATGGGCCTCAGACGGCTGCACAGGATTCGCAATATCAATTTGTAGAGCATCTCCAGAAAATCTGGTCTGTGGCTTCCCCTCCATCCCTGGAGGAGACGGTCGAGCCACCGCGAGCTTTGAAGGAGAGGCCTCCTCGATATGATACCCATGCGCCCTTCTGCACTGAGTCTTCGCCGACGAGGTTGCCTCCCAAGGTGAGATAAGCAGACCGTTTTCCGCCAATGCTGACGATGCGCTCGAATTTGAAATCGGATGGAAGCAAGTGTGCATCGCCTGCCCTTGGGAGGTTGCCATTGTTGTGGCGCAGGGTGCACTGGCTGGCGCTGCGGCGGACCTCATTCTGCTGATATGAGGAGGCCTGGGAAGGGCAGCCGTTGGAGCACTGTGACTGCAGCGGTCTCTTTGCCCGCACAGTGGGTCCACTGGCAGTTTGGATCCGATGGCCAACGAAGAGGTGGTGCCAGCGTGCCCATCAGACTGTCGTGAATCTAAAAAACAGCACGGCGACCACTTCAGAGACCCATGTGCGCCATTTTAGCATAAGTAGGCAGTGTGGAAATTCAGGCAGTTGCAGGATTCAGTACCGAAGGTTCTCAGCACCGCAGCTAAGCAATTCACTGTTGCCAAAGCCCATCGAGATGAGCTGCATGAATTATGGTGGTGCTCCAGCTAGCGATGAGAACTGCATTTGCTACCATGAGTGGACCGAGGTTTACTGTGTGCTGCATGTACCTTACAGGCGCCATGCATTGGGCGCACAGAGATTGGAACTACGCCTTGGCGACTGGTCATTACATTTTGCTTTAGTTGGCGCCGAAAAATCCAGATGTTGGCAAAGGCGAAAATCCTCATTAAATCATCAAGATTGCTGTGTAGAACGCCCGATTGGTTCTGAATTTTGAATTCACTTGGATGTGAGCACACAAAAGAGGGCGTAAATATCAGCAGTGCCCCGAAGATTCTGGCGACCATCGTCTCAGGTATACTGACATTATCTGAAAATTCATGGCATTCAGGCAATCTCAATTTCCAGTAATTATATGAAATTGTGAAGAATCATTACGGGATGCCATCATCGCACACGCCATTGCACAATCTGTTATGCCATATTTTAAATACATATAACTTCGCTGATTCGTTTAACCCACAAAATACTGGACTGCACATGCCTCTTTTATAAATCACACATTCATGCACTTCATCCGAATTGGGAGCCTCACCGTTTGAGCTTTTCTGAAGCGAAGCAATGAACATTCGTTGTATCTCAACCACGGAATTCAGTTGGCAAACTTTGTCCTCCAAAGCATCCCTCTCATGTTTCGCTTGCTCCAAGATGGCACAGCGTTGCTTCAGTTCGGCCAATTGTTCTTCCATTTGGGTTTTAAGCTTCTTCTGGCGCTCCCTAAGCCCATTCAGCAGTAGAAAATTAGCAGGTCAATGCTTTGTTTTTATTCGCATAGGAAAGTCAAATGAGTATGGTCCAGAAAGCGCAAGCCCAAAAGTTGCCAGTTTCCCAAATATTCCAACCGTGTCGAAGCTGTGGTCGCAGTATGAACATACTTTCAAAATGATTCACCATGATTAAATGGAGCCACATGTTGTCTTCAAAGTTCAGAACTTGTCAGAGGGGCACTACAATGTGCTGCTTCGAATTTCGGGTCCCATTCTAACCGCCAATGTTCGGAAAACCACATTAACGTGAACGCAATTTGCGCCATCAAATTTTGCACTGTTCAGGAGCGCAAAAGCAACAGCGCGTGGACGCCCGTTCCCTTTGATGGCCAATCAGCGCACCTGTATCGCTTCTGACTGAACTTGTTGAGCTGCAGCTGTCGCTGCGTGCGTCGGTGCACCCTCGCCCTCGCTTGCTTCTTCGAAAGCGCTTCATCGGGCAGAATGTCGAGGATGGGTTGGGCGCCATTAGCGTCGGGGTTGTCACCGGCGGAAGAGCGAATGATGTTGCGCGGAGAAATACCGCCTGGGGCTTCACTTCCCCAACCGATACTGTCACAAAAGCACGAGCGCATGTCTGATCAGTTCAAAATCATGCACGCTGGCCCGAATCTCCAATGGGCAATCTCCTGAGATCAATCCCTTTCACCGAGGCGTGCCTTCCTCAAATTTGCACAGAATGTTGAAATCGACACGCCCTAGACGGCAGTTAATACAGTAGCACCAGACACCCAAACGAACGATATTTTGGGACCTGCATGCCAATCCGGAAGTTTGCTGTCGCGAGATGCGATCCCAGAGTCTGTGCACCCATGATGACTACTCACCGGAGTGAACTTTGAGCCTGCGCCGCAACATCGCTTTGTCCAGGGCCTGCGCCAAATACGGAAGTTTCAGCCCTGTCGTTTTTCTAATCCTTCCGTGCATCGCCTCCGCGGAGGCCTCCATGGGCAAGCGGTCGGTATGCCAAACAATCGAACATCATCCATCCATTCCACCGACATCTGCCAGACTACGAGGCACATCAGGGCACCAAGGAATCGTACAATCGCGCAGGACAGATTCATGATCGATATTGAAATTCCGCACTGAAACCGCTGGGGGGAGTCGCTGTGGGCGGCTCAGGCACACCGCGGCGGCTTGGTCCAATCGAGGCATCGTTGCCGCATCAAGATTCGCATGGATATGGCTCCCTGCAGGTAACGGTCCCTTACTTGCAACGTAAGCAAGCCCACCTCGCGAATGCGCCTCAAGGCGACCCAGAAACTCAGCAAACGCCCTTCCATGCCCGGTTGCAGGATTTCGCCCGCCTAGCCTGGACTCCGTGGCACCCGGCGGTGTGCTCGACACCCCCATGCACTGATGGGCGCTCTCTGTGCTCATATGCATCACCGACACCTCCGCTTGTCCCTCTCTGCCCATCCTCTCTTGCCGCCAAGCGAAGAATTCGCAGAGCTGAAGGTGGTGCACAGGGCGGCTGCACCGTACGGCGATCTTCCAGGTGAATGGATCCGCAAGGAGGCTCACCTCGCCTGCTCGAGACTCCCACACCGACGCGCACCCCTGCACGACAGTTTTGAAATCGTCAGGCGGTGGATATCGCGCACAGGTTTCGACATCACATGGGGCAATGCGATAGCCGGTGGCACCCCGCACTAGAACCAAAGTCTCGATGTCATCGGTGGCGCGAATTCGCGTGCGCTTGGGACAAGCCCAACCTAGACGCACTGGAGATCGCCTGCGATCCGGCTGGCGGGATAGGCTGATCCTGGACAGTGCCTTGCCCGTCGCCGCCGCCCTGATTAGCGAGCACACGCTGGGATCAATCCGCCGTCCCGTTCTCGCTCGAGAATGTCCCTGCGCGCCCTCAATGGGCAGCGTTGGAACGGGCGCTCTGAGGCTGTGGGGCCGCGCCATGAAGCGGGATTGCTTATCAAGGCTGCTACCTGGTCTGTGGCGAAACAACGTTGCACGCTGAACATTGTGAAACCACGTGACCACGGACGGCGTTCCTCGCGAGCCTCACAACGCGACGCATCTGAAGCTGTCGTGGAGTCAGCTGCACGTTTACCGGCAGGGGGCCGTCAACGTAACGTCATTGTACGAGTTTTGGCTGCAGCGTGGCCCGCGTCCCCCCATGCAAAATCCCACCGACGTCCCATCGCGGCGACAGCGACGGCCGCGACCCATCGCGTCCCGTCATTGTAGCATCCAAATAGGAACATGCACTCAGAAGGGCAGTGGAGCGCTTCAAGCATCACAGAGTGTCGCGATGGCGCCAAATTTCTGGGGCCCGTATCCCCACCAAGATCCAGGGCTGGCAACATTGGGACTGCCTTCCTGCTGTATGACGCACCAGGGTTACAGAATCATGGGGTGGCCACGTGGGCCATCCCTTGTGGGATGGTGTGGGCCCATGTGCTCATGTTGGCCGTCCGTGTAGGCCCACACCGTCCAACATGGGACGGCCCATGTGAGCATCCATGGGAGAGTTGTACAGCGTTGGAAATGCGGGAATGTGTGGCATGCTCCACGTTAGTGCATTTCAACGGCCCTCCCACGGATACCCATGTGGGGCCCGTAGGCCCATGTGGGCCATCTCACGACTCTGTAACCCTAGAGACGATTTGGCATTCGTCAACTTGGCCTGTGTGGCAAGCGCAGGAAGGTACAAAAGGGCAACCGCGCTTCCGAGCCCAGCGCGACCTGCCAGCCCGTCGCCAAGGCGTTGGGCGCACAGCCGCAATGGAGCGCAACATACAGCGCGGCGTCTGTGACCCTGGGAGTTAGGACGCAAGCGCGGCAATCCATGCAGTGTTTGCTGAGCGGCAGAGGGTGTTTCAGCGAACCACTGAGCGCGGTTTCATCTTTCCCCGTTGGACGGTATACGGTTGCGCCGCCAACACACTACGTCGGCGAGGCTCAAGCCTGGTGCCTCAACATGGAACAGCCATTCCCCCGGCTCGAGCGATGCAATATCCAAGTTTATCACAGTACATGGTGCCCTTGGCCATTCTGTTCAAACGCAAAAGTCCACAACCGCTCTTCACGGTTCCCCTAGGTACCGCAACACGTGCCATGAAATCAACGACCTCATGGGCCAAAGATCTCACGTGCCACCGTCTGGTGGAATCGATGGCAGCATTTTGCCCAGAGGTTACATACATTGCATGCGCTTGCTCAGCAACTGGTGTAGCACAAGCTTGGGCAAGTAATATCTGCGACGGCATTGGATTCACGCCTTTTCTACTGATTCACTTGTAGGGGGGAGCTTGGAAGAATGGTCTCAAATATGGACAAGATGCCTCCTAGAAATTGTTAAATCGGTCTCGACTCGGACACTTGCAGACGAGGCTCAACGGAAACAGCAAACCGGTCCCTATACACACCCTCGGAGAGCTTCTGCGCTGATGATGTCCACGCTAACTTAGCAATTGGCTAGAACTGAAATTCGCTATCTATGTGCCTGCCATGGCGTCCCCACCCACCCATCCTTGCCCCTTGGGCGGGTGGACGGCCTGCAGCGTTGCGCACTCACGCCAGCGCTGCCGGTTGAATCTGCTCGCAGCAGCAACCTCCGTATCGCGAGGAGGGAGTCCAGGAGGCCTGCGTGGGGCGCAGCGCGGATCGATGAGGTCTACCAATCCTGGCAATCCCGATCGAACCGCATTTCCTCACGCAAAGTCAATCAATTGTTACCGTGGAAAGAAAACAGGAGTAGTTGGCCAACTTTCCCGCAATAGCAAGCAAGGGCACAACCGTGGTGCGTGACCGCGTTGAGTCAACCAATCAACTTTGCACGGAAAGTAAGGGAGGTCAGATGGTAAGCGTCTCCCTGTTGAAACCAAACAACATGCATGGAGCAAAGCAACAGGGTTGCCGCGGAGGAAAGCCACAGAGATCGCGGCAAACGTACTCGCAGCGTCGGCGCGGCCAAGGGAAGCTTGCAGGCCTTCAGCGCATGCTCGTCTGTTGCATCGGCAATGACGAGAGAGACGTGGCAGGGCATGACAACGCACGCCTTGCCCGCTGCCACGGGCAGTCACAAATCGACGACGAGACCTTCGATTTGACGTCCCCTGAGCGCGGCGCCACTACAACGCCATGCCACGGCCCCGGATCGCCATGAAGCATTGCACAAGATGCAGAAACGGCCACGTAATGGAATGCTCGGGCGCTCCGCTGGCCCCCGGTCGCCCGCTGGGCGTTTGGGAAAAGGCTTTGAGAGCGGGAACAGAGACTGTGGCAACAGGGGGTAGGCGGCGCCGCTCGCGATGCGACAGAGCTCACGACGCCAAGTTGCCTCGCCGCGAATTGCTGGCGCGCCTGCACGGTACCCAGAGCGGGATCGAGGGCTGTCGGACACGTGGTTCCAGCGACAGGCTTGGTTTGGCGCCCCTGAGTCAGTGTTGGACGCGGGCGGCGCAATGCAGGCAAACGTGCCTGGCGCTGTGGCGCGAGCTGGCGAGTCACCGGCCTGCCACGGCAATCCCCGCAATATTAGGTCTACATGCCCGGGTTGGCAAGAGCAGTCCGACAGATAAGCCAGCCCTCCCTGAACTTGCGCATCAGCCGCAGCACCTTCCGCAGGCCTCTGGGGATGCCAACCCTATTCATGCGGCGATCGTGTCCGGCCGTGCATTGAAAGAGATCCGCGGGCAATCGCGCCGAGCGCATTCGAACATCGTTTTTCACGACCGCTGCAAGGTGGCCTCCCGGCGTCGACGCTTCCGAGAGCTTCTGCGCCGCAAGCGGGGTTGAGTTTTGCGACGGTCGAGAGGCGGGGCCGCGCGTTTTCCGACTGGTCATGAGAGCGCACAAAAGGTTGGAGGCGCTAGCGCCGCCGCTGTTCCGGAACAATGGCGTACGGTGATCCGCTGCATGTGACACCCACCGGGCGCTCTGTGCGACGGTCCTTGCCACGTTCGCGAACATGGCCCCCTCCGGGTCCCGCGGGCCACTCGCCAGGATTTTAACTCGGGCGACCGCGGACCGATGTGCTGCGACTCTCCGGGTCGGGGCCGGACGCCGCGGACCTCGCGCTCGTGTGCCTGCGCCTTAGATCCAGGTCGGAAAATTCGTACAGCGCGGATGGGCGTGGAGCGGCAGACGGCCATGGCAGTGGCCACGCGCGCCTCATGGCGGACATGCAGCCGCCATGGCTTCGTACCTTCAACAACGAGGGCGGTGCTGATTGGAGAACTTCCGCTCAGTAGCCGATTGATGCATCCCATCGTACGGAAGGTTGCTGACCGCAGGTTGTGTGGCCCCGTTTTCCAGACGCTGAAATTGGTGAACGCCCTTCGCCTGTTGATTTGCACGAATCTTGAGTGGGATGCGCGTCGCCCCGTTCTGGAATGCACACAGTCAGCCGGCGGCACAGAGCCGAGAAGAACAACCGAGGCGACGCCTAGATTGTCTGGCGCGCCGCGCTGGCGCGCGAGAGGGAGGGGCGGCACGGCATCTGCCCCAGGGAGTTCGGTGCTTTGCGGAGCCTTTTCAGCAAGAATGGACAACACGGGCACTACCAGGCATTGGGAGCGGTCGTCCCGTGCCCGCGATGCATGCAACCCTGGGGCAGCTCAAGACCGCGCTCTTTCTGGCGGTCGTGGCTGCGAGGCGGACAGTGGCGCACGCTTAAAGCCAAACGCAGAGAAGAAGAGGAGGAAGCGCACGCCGCATCAGCTCCACCTCAGCAAATTGTGCCAGCGTCGGTACAGGTCAGTTGCTGGCATGCAGCCGCGCCACGGGTTCCATAAGCTGCGCTTGTTTCTTCGGGGCTGAACACAGTCTTCGCCCAGAGTGATCAGTACAACAGGTGTGTTGCCGCACTCTGTGGTTCCACTTTGCACAAAAAGGGGTGGGGTGTGGGTGTGGGGGGTGGGGGTGGCTGGCTTCATGCTATTTCAGGATCCGTCCGTGCGAGAAAACACTGCTGCTGTGATGCCAGCTGCGACGCCATTTGAACAGCATGTGTTGCTTTGGCAGTCACTGTGCGAAAGCATCTCCGATGGCATCGATTAGCGTCACATGCCACCGCAGTTGGCACCGCAATAATGCTCTTTTCTACTGGTGCGTGTAGAGCGCGTCCTCGCACTCGAATCTCCGGAGAACACGTTTCAGGCTGCACCTGTACATTGCCTTTGAAAATCCTGGAAAGACATACGACGGGTGTGGGTCATAGAAATTCTCGTTGATAACGTTGGTGCTCATGGAATGCCATTTTGTCCTGAAAATTCGTGCTCGGGGAGAAGTCCACGCGCACTGCAACTGGAAACGTGGCCTACCGGCTTGGCGCCACATCTTATTGAGGATTCATGTTCGAATTCCCATGTTGCGGAGCAAAACTACAGCTACCTCGCATGTGTACTGCAAGCTACATTCATGCCGCAATCGTGGATTTGTCAAGCTATTTGACATTCTGGTCCCGATTGACATATTGACACAGCCAATGGCCAGAATTTCCACATTATGATCTCATATTATAATATGAAACAGAGTGTTTCATAACGGGAGCGTTCCACGTCAGGACCCAAGTGTTTTGAATGCAAGGCACTGAGGTACCGCGATGCACACCACTTCGAGGCTGTGCAACATTAATGCTCCACAATCTCGAAGTGCTGTGCATCTGGGTTCCTCAGGAATACTCCTGTGTTCGCGCAAATTCTTTTGTGCTCCTGGGCTCGTTAAATTCGTATTTCGACGCCCACGTCGCGCTGCTGATTACCCTCTGAATTGGGCGTTGCTACATGCAGGGAACGGCTTAGGGCCAGGACAGCTCAAGCAGATGCTGTAATGTCCACTTTAAGAGAGCGCTGCGAATTAGTGGAGGAGTTGCGAAACGAAAATGCCGTTCTCAGAGCCAGGGTAAGCTTCTTGGAGGGCGTCATACAAGAGCGCGATTGCCTCAGTGGCGTTCTGCAGAGTCCGATGACGGGAGATGCAGTGTCATTCGCTCCAAGAGCGTTTGGTGAGTGAGGAGTATGACGGACCAAATTTCAAACAGCACTGCATTCATTCTGCGCGTTTTTGCTCTTGGTAGCTCTATTCTAACTGCTCACGCTTTTTGCAATTACAGCAGGAGCATCACCCCAAGAAGCTCAATTCGAAACAGAATCGACCTCTTATGCCCTCTACAGAGACGGCGACGAGTACACAAGGTCTGGGCAAACGGCGCCTGCGCCCATCCAGTACTCTCACACAAACGGGGCTGCGCATGACTCATCAGGACTCGGAAAAGCACCACTTTCCTGTGTTCCACAAGCGCCGCTCCATGGAGAAGGTATCCATTATCAAGAAATTTCCCAAGGCCCCTGGAATATCCCCATCTTCGGCCCAGGTAGCTTCGGCGGCGATACAACGCTTGGACGTCCAGGGATGGCGCTGCCAGCTCCCCGTGGATGGCCCAACAAATCTGCTTGCAATTCCTTCCTCTCTCCAACGTTGGTGGAGCGCCAGGCCTCCTCAGAGCAGACAGCCAGACAGGCGGATTGGAGCATCCCTCCTGTGGTGCAGGCGACGCGGAGCCGCCCCACTGACGCCTGTGATGGCCCTAGCGTTTCCCTCCCATTTCCAGTGGCAAGGGCGTCCAACTCTCGAACAGAAAATTCCCAGCTGAGGCATTCTCGGACGTATCCACCCAGCCGGTGGCGGCATACTGCCTCCACGGGAGCTTCGCATTATTCCCACTCCCTGGGCAGTCGATCCATGGCTCCCTCTTGCCCACTTTCACAACAGACAGGGAAGGAAAGTGGTGGCTGCACCAGGGGAGATGAGGAGGGGTTGTTAAGAGAGGTGGACGTGTGCGTCAATGAACTTAGAGTTGCGCTGGAGGCGGCACGCTTCTCCACGATGAGGAGCCCAACCCTCGGAGAGAGCTTTCGGGTTCTTGGAGAAAAGGTGCGCCGCGCTGTCAGTGTGTCAGCCAAGATTCAGCAACTCCGGGCCCCGAGCCGCTCTTTCGTTGCGAGCCCGCTGGCAATGCAGGCCGCCATGGGTGACCAGGAGCTGGCCCGGTGGAAGGCCCGCATGTCTGCATTGGATTTGAGCGATGGCCAGAAGCGCGCGGCTGCCGATCTGAGATCGAAGCTCCAGGGGTGCCTTCGACTACTGTTCGAGGATAGATCAAGACTTAACAATGAGGTGGGTCGTTGAACAGCCAAAATCGCCATTGCGGCTGCATGCTCGTGCACATACCTGATATGTACGGCGTAATCACGGTGCATGTACGTGTTTTGTGCGTAAAACAATATTCAAACTTTTGGGTGTAAAAACGCGTGCAAATACATAAACACAGTCCCTGCGTACGCAAAGACAGTACATGCAGACTCAGAGAGTCCTGGGAGTGGCAGCCAAGTTGAGGCCAGCGCCCTAATGAGGAAATGTGAACTGCGTCCGCAGGCCAGAGCGATGTTGCAGGAAAGAGGGGCATCCCCGAGCGCAGCGATGATTGACGTGAAACCTGTGTGGGACAAGGTCAAAAGGAACGTGAAACAGGAGATCAGGGAGCTGTCAGACGGCCTTCATGCCCTCTTGCTCAGCATTTTGAATCCGGTACAGGCCGCGCATCTCGCCGTTGAGTCGCATCCAGGAGGGGTAGACGTTATGGCAGCGGTCACAGCCGTGGATGCACCGGAGTCATGCATCGACGCCCACTCACACACCGACCCAAAAGGCTACAAGATGCTGCATAGAGGATCGCACTGACAGCGATGCCTGGAGTCTTTCCACCCTTCAAAATGATGTCGAATATAATGGATGCGCCATGGACGCCGAGGGGGAGGCTCCCTGCGCTACCAGCAGCCCAAAGGACATTGTCTATCGATCCGCATTTTTGCTTTTTTATTGTGTTACGTTGCTCCGCAAAATTTTTGTAAATGAGCGTTATTTATTGTATCGACTTCGCCGCCAAAAAGAGCAAAGCATTACGCTACTATGCGGAAGAGCTAAAAAAGGGTAAAAAACTTAAAAAGGGTAGCGGATTGCGAATCGCTCATGCTATCCAAAATTGATTCTTTCTCCTCTGCTCTTTTTGCTTCGTTCGGTTTTTACTCATTAGTTTAACGGAAGCACATTCGCACGAAGTGCATGTCATTTTATGGAAATCAGGCCAACGCAGTCACTGCGGTTTCCATCAATGGCATTCTAGAAGTTAGAACACGGGAAAGCGCTGCAGATGCTTGACAGTACTTCAACTCCTCGCAAATCCGTCTCGAGCCCCCCACCACACCACACCACACCCCCTTTCCGTATATGCGATGCAAGTGTGTCAGTATCGACACAATTTTGTCCCTTATTCTCAGGACATCGCAAAATGTTCGGAAAATTGGCGAACTCCAGACATGCCAACGCGCTTCTGCGGAGGATGGCATGGACTTGTGGAATTCGCCAGCACCATACCTAGGCCAACCGCACCTATGTGCACGCGTCGATAAAGCTGGCCATCATCACGATCATCCATTCTTGCATAACACTGCAAGGAAGCAGCCTCCAGCTTCCTACTTTGCCCAAAGCAGTGTCCGTGATCAGCTCATTGAAATCCAGTGCATGACACAAAGAGAAGTCAATTAATGAAGTCGATGTTTATATACAGCACAGAAGATTAGTCACAGCCATGGGCCTTGCCGCCCTCTGGCCTTAAAGTCTGAAACCCTTCAGCGCCCATTCGAGGCAGTCAGGCCCTGACAGTGGCTCAAGCTTCTGAGATTCGACCAGTGCCAACGGGGCGTTTCTGTCGACTTTCCATTACAGTTAATCGAAATAACTATTTTGTCCATGGATTTCTGCCAAGGGCGACGCTGGGTACGCTGGGCCGGTGGTTTGAACCGGCAACAGTTGAATGGGCCAAATTCAGGCTCTGCACTTTGCTTTCTGCCACCCAAATATCTTGGGTCAGCCAAAGTCCAAGAAATTCAACAGGAGCCGCCAACTGTTTGGTGCCTTTAGATTTGGCGGTATTTGGGAGGCTGAGCGGAGGCGGCTATTAGGGCTTTCACCTAATTTTGTTTCACACCCGCCCCACCCGCCCTAGGACTGTGAATTCGGTCTAGCTGTGAGATGGGGGTTGAGTGGAGGAAGTGGAGAATTAACGCGACGTAAAGTACTGTGAAGCGGATGGGCACGCTTGGAGAAAGGGCCCTGTGGTGGCGACGGACATCGTTTTTATACGACTTTTGCAAGTCTTGTCACGTGGGGGACATGACTGGGTGGGTCCAGGAGCCTGTGAGCAAAATGGACCTATGCTTTCTCATCGCTGATATTCTGTCCCGATTCGCCGTTCGGTCATCACTTCCTTTGCAACATCGTGGCCTCTGAATATAATGCATATCCACGCTGAATATAATCCAAGGGGATTTTATTATTCGTGCCAGCTCACTGCATTTGATGGGACAATAGGGTGTGGCGACATGGGGCCATGAATATTCGATTCCCAACACATTATCTGTTGGGTTTTCACGCCCACCATCGCCTGCCAGGTGCGCAGGCTGTGTTTTGTCATTTTGTGACAAATGTAACCCATGGATTTCGATGATGATCGTGGCCAGTTGCGGGTAAGCACAATGCTGTTCTCGCTTTATCGATTTTCGGCAACAATGACCATTCCAAATTCAACACGTGACGTGCCACAAGATATGGGCGGTCGCCTTGACTGCAAAGCGCGGACCAAATCCCCTTCTGATTTTGACCGACGCTGGCCTGTGAAATTGGCCTCCGTTTTCGACTGCATTCCAGGCTGTGTGATTTCGCCTATCGCCATGCCGCACTTGCCTCCAGACTTGCGCCACATAAGGATGTCCCTGTCAACAAGGTACATAACAAAACGTCTTGCTTCTCTCAGTTCCAAAAAGGGAAGTTTAAATCTTGTCTCTCGCTCAACCCCTCCGCACGCGAGTGCTAAAAGCCACAACGGCGTGGGAAATCCATCCTGGTGGTTACCACTTGCATGTGTGCCCAGATTCAATTTTCCTCATTTAATCCAGCTTGATTGACTCTTGCGCCTCATTCCGATGTGCTAAGCAGCAGATGCATTCCATGTCCTACTGAACAGACCCCCTCATTCGCATGCAATGAGAAATCTACTGGCAGAGTGGCCATTGCCGCTGCCCATTCGAACAGCCAACAGAGCTCGCACTTCTACATTATTAATGTACTGCCGTACTTCTGACGACCTGCAAAACGCCAGCTATTTGCCGCCAAAACAATGCACTGCCGTACTTCTGACAACCTGCAAAACGCGAGCTATTTGCCGCCAAAACACTTGATAAACTCACATCCTAAAGTCCTTGACAATCTCTTATTGGGATACAGCCTGCGTTGTCCTAAGGCCCGCACCGAAAACTTGCAGCTGGATCAAGCCAAGCACAGGTCCCCGTCAACGGCGGATTCTGCTGGCGCCCTGGATGCGCTGAAGGCGCATGCCAGTGCGGCAACCAGCCCCAGCGCGTCTGCGCCGGCCGACTGGGCGTCGACGATCAGCAGGGCCGCCTGGACGGGCTCCAGAATGGTCATCAAGAGCTCTCGAAGCCCGTCTACCATTGCCACGTACTCCCGCCTGACGTTCTGCTTCATCTCGCTCCACACGGACCTCATCTCTTGGGAAGCTGCTGAGAACTTGCGCAAAACAACTCTGGCCTAAACATGCACCAGCGAGGAAATTGAGTCGGAATCAGTTACTCAGCGGGATTGCGTTTATGCAACAGTGTTGAAAGCACAAGATTTTGTGTGTGTGTGTGTGTGTGTGTGGGGAACCGGCACCCGGAGATCTGCTCTACGCACTATCGCATCCTGTGCGACAAAGGAAACGCACAACGTCGATTTTCTTATGCGACGTCAAATTGACGACCCTACCCCCACCCCACCCCGCCCACCCAATTCACCCAACCCTTTCTCCACGTGAGTGTCAATCCTTGTGTCGATGCCTGCGTGAAATAGCTGCATTACCAAGTGCAACAGTTCAGCTCAGAGGGAGCATTCGGACGCAGGGTTGAAGGATGTTGCTGGCGACGCCAGGAGCACGAACCTGTCACTAAACAACCTGGGAACCTCCTTGAAGAGAACCGAACGCTTGTTGGAGATTTCGAAGGAGACCGTGACTTTTGCACCTGATCGGGGTAAGTTGTCCCTCTTCAACAGTTCAGCTCAGAGGGAGCATTCGGACGCAGGGTTGAAGGATGTTGCTGGCGACGCCAGGAGCACGAACCTGTCACTAAACAACCTGGGAACCTCCTTGAAGAGAACCGAACGCTTGTTGGAGATTTCGAAGGAGACCGTGACTTTTGCACCTGATCGGGGTAAGTTGTCCCTCTTCTTACCTTATGCAGGCTTTGCAACAGTTATGCAATTTCTTTGCGTCACAGGCGCACGCCTCCCCACCCCCCCACCCCCTCCACCAGCATCATTTTGACGCCAAGGGCAACAGAATCGGAGCGGTGCGTTCTCTAAGCAAGCAAGGGAAACAATGTAGAAGAAAAACAGAGAAGCCAGGCACAAGCCCTTTTGCCTGACGTGCCAATTACTGCTGTTGGCACTTCAGCAGCTTGTGTTCAACGCACAGCGCCTCGGCCTGAACAGCATCAAAGTGTTGCATTGATGACGCAAGCAAAGACCGAAAGCCCCGTGTTGAATAGAGCCCAACTCAAAACCCGCCAACCTGGTCGTTGAGCGCCGATCTCGACTCGTAAATTTTGTTGATCTGGGCCTCTTGCTCACTCGCCAGCTTGGAAATGGCGAGCATCTGCTGGGCAGTGAGGTTCAGCGCGCCCAGGCACTCCCGGCAGTGTTGCACACCTTCCTCGCTCAAGCCTGCCTTGGGCGAGCGGCCGCTGGCAAGGTCGCAAGGCTTTGGTACCTTGGTCCTGGACATCCACCCGAGTTTGTTCAAGGAGGCAAGTCTTTAGTCTTAACAGACTGCACGTTACAAAGTGTTGGAATGCTGCAAACTGCAGGCTGGCCGGCCAGCTACTCCAATCACCCCCCTATCCGAACACGTGGCCCCTGCCACGGTTTGCACAACAATGGAGCGATAAACACGAGGTTATGTAGTCTCATTCCATTCTGGGCTGTGCTTTTCACGCAAAGTTAAAACGGACTTGGGTTTGCTATATCTCATCAGGGCATTCCTCTGTGCAGCTGGACGCCCAACTCCCACCAGTGGATGCATTATTCCCCCCCCAAAAAAGTCGAACGTCATCGGCATCAAATTCACTTCAGCAGAAAGCATGAGAACTGTGCACACCTGGCAACGCCCACGGCCACCTCCAGAATGGTGGACAACATGTCCTGGATTACCCGCACATCTCCTTCGGAGGCCCGAGCGCCATCTTTGAGAATCGATTTCTCCACAAGAAAGCTCCTCAACGCCTGCACTTTGGCTCCCATGTTGTCCATCAGCTTCGCATCATGGACCTCACTTTGTACCTCTGCCTGGTGTAGCGGCCCAGAAGGCGCTCCACGGAGTCGGCAATGTGACTTGGGGGGAACATCCGTCCCTGAAGTTCTCCCCACTGAGGCAGTGGTTTTATGTGCCAATCCTGTGCATGAAGGACAACATACATTGCTACGAGCATTTGCAGTGCACCCTGGAGCCCCCCCATATTGCTGTGCACCATCATTGCTTAACGGATTGTGCTTTTAAATTGCAGTTGATACCACAGAAATCAATATTGCAGCAGACATCAGCTGGTGCCAGTCCTGCAGGCGACATGGTGGGATTCCCATGAATTTATGCATGCAATCCGTGGTGCTTGCTACTCAACTTTGGACATCGATGGGTTTGATGCATGTCATGATGCAGAAAGCGTTGAGCCGTTGGAGCCTCTAAGAGTTTATTGGATGCTTTGCTGGGAATTTCATAGCATTGCCTTCTCTTAATTGCATTCGTTTCTTTCACATATCGCCCAAGCCAACGTCATGCAGATTAGCAACTGCAAGCATAAAAAACATGTGAAGACTGGGAATCCAGGGAGACACTCACCCTGACAAGAATCGAGGTTGAGAAACACCAACACCCAGTTCTTGTGTGGGTCAGACATCAGATCTCTCAAATTGGGAGATGGGTTGCTTCGGATCAACCACAAGGGCAAGGGACACACAACATACATGAGATGATGAGCTGGTTGAGCGCCCAGTACCATTAATACTCTGCATTGTTACCCAGCAATTAGTGACACACTACATTACCTCATGATGGTTCCACCCTAGAAAAAGGCACGTTTCGTACAACTTGTGTCTCTGTTAAGGGTGCATTCGCATTCATGCACACACATGATACAAACTGCCATTGCCACCCGGTCGGGAAACAGGAAAGGGACAAGGAACCCAGTGTCGGCATTTCCAGATTGCCATCGGTAGTTACAGGTGACTTTGAAAGTACCCATTTGGTTCAGCAGATATCATGAGTACCGGCAGAAGTGAGCACTTGTATTTGTGGAGGCAAGGCGGAGCACAGGTCGCGATACGCGCCACAAAGCACCCGGCTTGCATGAAAGGCTGCATGCTGCTGCGGTACAGTAGATTGTGCAAAATGAAAACAGCAGAACTGGTGCAAAACTGTGGTAAACCCCAAGCGTAACCCACTCTCAAGCATGAATCATCCAGTGCACGATGTGGCCCAAATCGCTGGAACAAGTTGCACACACGCTGCAGGTTACCACTTGGTGAAATTTTGTCATGTGGCCGATTCTTCCTGTGCTTATCGCTTCAAATGTTTGAAATGCACGTTTGCTAGAGCACCAGCTCTGCATAGACCAGTACTTACCAAGTCGAAGGTTGATAAAGGATGGCAATCTTTGTCCATTTGTGAGCTCGGATATTTTTTCCTGTTGTTCCCTGGCGACCGAAGCCAGCCTGCCATTGGCGACCCTCAGAAAATCGTTCTCCTGTTCAAGCGACTTGTGCCCACTGGCTCGCATCTCTAACTTCCTTATTCGCAATTCCGCTCTGGCCCATTTTCGCCTTTGTTGTTCCCTGTACCCATGTTGTGAGTCAGCTGAGGAGATTCGTGCTAATTTTCGGGACACCAAAAAAGGTGTAATATCTGCAAAATGACAATCACGCACCACTGGCGCAGTGATTCTGTTTGATGTTCGACCAAATCCAGATTCCAAAACTCCAAATAAATGCCAGCCTCCTAAATGCTTTCACACGGCAACTGCTGATACTCATGGGATACATAAATGGTGCTGAATTATGTTCTGTGGGAGTTGGATGCATAGCGCGAATTGTGGAGTCTGCGATCACCACTAACTCAACTTCCTGAAAACCGCAAACAGCAGCAGAAAAATCCTGGATACTTTACGATGATTGCACGACTCGCCCTGCCATAACTCACAATACGATAGGATGACCACTACGCTCCACTTCCATTTGGTGTTAAATTGAGAACTCAGTTCAATAATTGTGCGAACGCCACATCACTGCCATTGTTGGGATGGGGATGCATTGCTGACGGGATTCTCCCAAACAACTGATACCTTGACGATGAAACTACAGCACTCTTTGCATCCACTGATTTGGCAGTTCAGATGCCAGAATACACGTTTCTTCCTTTGCACCTGTGGGATGCCTGTTGCAAACCACGCACTGAGGTTTTTTTTCATACAATCCAAGGGGTCTTTAGGCCTCTTCTTTGCTCACGTCGATTTCAATACAATAATGAAAATTCTTGGTGCTACAGGTATAGAAATTCTCTAAACATCAGTTTGATCACGAATGTAACGACAGCACCAAAGTATCATCTTTTCAAAGAATGTGTTTGTGTCATTCATGTTTGCAAGAATAACAACATGTCTAGTAGTTCGGCAAGGTCCAAACACGTCCTAGCATCACTTGAAATGGGTGAATACTTTAGCTTTGGTGCAGTGCCAAACCGCCACACCTGAAGCGTCGGCAGCTGCTTTTTAGGCACAGGCGTCGGGGCGCTAGCCACCTCCAAGCCCGCTTCCCTTTCCTTTCCTCTCCCTCTTCCAACTGCCTATCGCACGTGCTCGTGGATCCACTCGCATCTTCGTGCACTGCTGCATAACTGGGATGATGATGGGTGCGGCTGTGAGTGCCAGCAGGCTGCTTTTTATTTTGCCTGCTGCATGACGAGAAATCTTTCAGGCACCCACACAATTGGTGCAATTTTCCACCACCTGGAAAGTGGAGAATGTGGCGTATCGGTCACAGACTGATCAATTTTCGTCAGGACAATTTCTGCTGTCTATGCGCTTTTTGCAAGGTGAATAGACTGCAAGGGGGGCACAGTTCTAGGTTGAGCATCTCCAAACTCAAAGTTGTAGACACAAGATTTGTGAGATCATGGGATCAAAGGTCGACCCTGTGCAGGATTGCCACGTACCATTTCCAAACAAACCAGCTGAAGAATCAACTGGCTTTAATGTTCTCTATTTTCATCTGGTCCTGTTCAAAATTATAGAGTAACTACACTGAAGCAGTGGGCTGTGAATTTTGGTGTCTACTGTCCACAAGCAAAGGGAAAATCCCACAGTGTGCTTTTAACTTTACCTCCAGGCATCTCGAAATCCCAAAGGCAGGTCATCCCTGTCGAAGCCTGCCCACCAGCACAAAGCACCAGCGATCAGTTTCCACCTTCAGCAGCCGGGATGTAAAACCTCTCCCATCGTCTACGTGGATTCTTCTGTGTACTTCAATGGAATATGTCAAACTGCTCACCCGCAATACTCGGAGTCCATCGCGCACACGACAATACTGCAAAGTTGCACCCATATTCCCCAGTGCAGGGTGGCCATTGCACATGTGTTTTGTGCAGGACCGCATCCCCAGGAGTCTCTTTGCTGACATTTATGCACAGAAAAGCCATTGCTGACGTGTAAGAGCAGCGCAGGCACCCACAAGCTGATGACAGGAGCCACATACATGCTGCAGGCCTCTGGGGCCAATGGGGTTTGGGCCACAGTCCAAGAACCCCTAAACATGCAAGCGGCTCTCGTATCTCAAACAATCAGCCCATCTGTACAGAAGATGAAAACGGTGAGGTTGAATGCCGCTGGGGCCCTGTGGCAACCTTGGCAGCCCCCAGCAATCAACCAACAGATGAATGACGCACATGTTGTTGAACTGTGGATGGCGAAGAGCATGATGACTAAACCCGGGATCGAACCTGGCCAGGGGCAAGGGTGATGGCAATCCGCCCCCTTACGTAGGACAATGAACAATCGATTCCGAACAAGCAATCTGCTTGGTTGTGACGCCCATTATAGCCCAAGTGCAGTCCACGGATTTGCACTCCCTTAAGTACCAGCGCACTCAACACGGCGCATGCCAACGTGGAGGTTTCTGGCTGGTTTGGGCCATACATTGGTCCCTCTTTTTTCCTTGAGTATCCCTCCTTGGGCCAGGCCTGTACCGCCGCGCTCGTACTGCCGCGGCCCATCGTCATGGTCGGTTGCACGGTCGTCACGCCCGCGCTCTCGTTGCTCACACCCCCGCCGCGGTGGCCCGTGTGGCGGACACACATCCCCGCCCGCGCCTTACTCTCCGTGACGCACTGCTGACGCCCGGCGCCCCATGACCCACGCAGAGCACGACGCCGCTGGGGGGGGGCGCACCCAGCCAGCCCACGCCGGCCCCCGCACCCACACACACATGTGTGGCGCCGCGCCGCCTCCCATGGCCGGGGCCCACAGCGCCCGCCCCGGCCGCGCGAAAACCAACCGACGCCAAAACAGCCCCAGAGAAGGTCCCGGCTTCCAGCCAGGCGCACCTCACACCTCCAATCTCTCTGCTGGCGCTGGGCTTTGCAGCCTTGAGCTTTGCATGCGCTCGCCTTGGGCTGCCCCCGGCATCTCTTGTTGCACCGGAGGTTCTGCGTCATCTTCTCGCACTGCGGGAAAGATCCTCGCGAACACTTGCCCAGGAGGTGGCGCCTATCGCACGACCAGCTCATCCTTCTCTTTTCCTGACAAATTCCCCCGGCCCCACCCACCCCCCCGGCCCGGACACGTCAACAGCCGGCAGGCCCAGTCCCTGCGGATGCCATCCCTGGACGCGCGCGACCCGAGACCCCGCCTCTGCAGACCCCGCCTCTGCAGCCGCGGGCCCACGTCAGCGCGCCGAGCGAGGCAACCTGATCCGGCCGCCGTTGCCCCACAGCACTGCCGCGTGAACCAACGCCAACCCACCCAACCACCCGCACAAAGACCGCCGCATCCCATGGCTCCTCTCAGGCGGGAAGTCATGGCTCTCCCACCCCCATAATCATAACTACGCTCGCGCCGCGAATCACGGAGCGGATATTTCCGACCCAGCCGATCACGAGCAACACTATCGCCACGCAGGGCCCCCGTTCGTGTCGCGCACCGTCCGCGGAAGACGTCCACGCCGGGCTGGATGAGTCCCTGTCGCTCGGCCCCGGCGTCGCCTGAAGACGTGGCGACTCTCCGTTCCCCGCCTCCGGCGCCATCTCCTGCCCCAGGCACGCCATCGAGAAGCGCCTCTCCCGCCCAGGGCTGTTCTCCTCCCTCGTCTTCCGTCTTCAGTCTCCTCCTCCTTCTTCTTCGTCTTGAGTTGTGCGGCCCGGGTTTTAAGCGGCGGGCTTGCGTCGCGTGAGGCGATGACGGTCCGCCTTTATGGCAAGGGCAGCAGGGTGCAGTGACGGCGGCCCCCACAGGCCTCCGACGCGACAGGCGGTGGCATTGGGGTGGCGTACGCACATGTGAAGGGGGGTTGAGGCGCGTTACGAAGTGAGTGGGAAGAGTGGGAGAGCTCCACGTTAGGGCTGCGAGGATGGGCTGCGGATAAGGTCGTGGTGCGCCCTTGCGGGACGGAGATTAGTAATGGGTTTGGTGCGTTTCGAGGGACCGTCACCTTCGCATGTGCTGTGCGGGCCCTCATCCCTCACACGCGCAGTGTTGTGCAACGTTATGCCAAGGGGATGTAGGGTGTGCTGGGGTTGAGCTGGCGCGAAAGTGACGCCGGCTGGCGCGCTTTATTGGAGGGAGCGGTTCACAGCCTGGCGGGGGGGTCTTTTCGCAATGAGATCGACGTCAAGTTGGTGCGCTTCTGGTCAGGAAGACATGGGTGGATGCCGGTGACCAGGCAGACAGTTTTTGGGGTGCGCGGGTGGGTGGGCGGGGGGTGGAGGGCTGCCACCTTTGTTTCTGCATGGCCGCATTTCGCACGCAACAGTGACGTTGCCGTGTTGTGTATCAAGCCTTTGGGGCAGCAAAGCGACCTTTCGCTCCTCGGTGTCAAGCCACTGAAAAAATAGGCTACGCTCTTTTGGAGGTATTCCGAGCAAAACTTCGGCACAGGATGCAACACAAGAATTCAGGCGCAGCAGCCCTGAAGTGCATTGGGAAACGGCCTGTGCAGTTGTGCTGGTGGCCCATCCAGGCTGTGCTTGTGCAGTAGCGAACGAGGACGTAAATGTGCTGCAATGCAGAAGCCAACGTGCTTCTGGTGACAAACCCAAGAACCCGGCGTCGTTGAATCCACCAACCCCACAAACTGCGAGTGCAATCGATCGTGCTGCGAAGCCAGCAGATGGATTGCAAGGGGATCTACCTGCAGTTGGTGGCGTGGGTGTCGCCATTGATGAACAGTCAGGTGGTTTGAACTGTGCCTGCCCATGACTGGCCACTCCTTTCCAGTTCTATCCTTGACACGCGATCAACGAGGACTCCTTGACTCCTTTTCCAACGCTTGCGCATCTGTGCCCCATTCGAGTGGACAGACACCAAGAGAAGGGCCAGAAATGACCATATCTTATGGAGAGCCCATTTAAAGTGCACCAGCATACGACCTTGATCACCCTTGGGGGAAGCCCAACAACAAGAAAATCGACTGAACTTGGCAGTTGGCCCCTCAGCACTTTTGGTACACCTGGTCCAGAAAACATAGTGAACAATGGCACAAGGGATCATTGCAATCCAAGCACAGCATCAAGATGACGTATGATTTAGTTCCAAAGGGGAAGCTTTGGCAGGTCTCTCAGGCCCAGAGGCGGTCCTCTTTGAAGCTCAACAAATAACGGCCATTGTTCACAGCTATTATCTATGTTTGTATCGTGTGCATGTGTCGTGCCATAAATATGAGTGTGGATGTCCACCTGCTTTTTGTCCACTTTACATTGCAGCAAGGCAGAAGAGGCAGTCAGTTTTTAGTGCTCTGCTACTTCAAGCTGTGGATCATTTGCTGGTCTTGAGTGCAACGAAGCCCTGACAGACTACTGAGTGAATGGGGTCAATTTGCTAGGTTCTATGTTGACTCGCAACGAAACTCTAGCATGAGCGGCCCACATGTTGGATGGAAGGCAACTGAGCTGTGGTGCTAGTGCCGCTCTGCATTGAAGCATGCTGCGATTGCTGCACTCAGAGACTTTGGTGTCATCACCTACAGCATTGAAAGGGGTTCCGTTAAACATTAGCCAGGAAAAGGGGCAGAAGGTTCTTGCTTCAAAAAGAAGAATTTCTTGCAAAATGGGCAGGCCCCTCTGGCCTGGTCTATTGCCCGGCGCGGTTGACGACGCCTGGGTGTCTTACGATCACATCGGTCCACAGACATGTCTGTACTTCTACCCATGTGGTGTTCTTTGAGCCCACGCTATGTATGTCCGAGTCCTGAACTGTGTTGTGCACTTGTCTCGTGTGCTTATAAGGCACCTTACATACAGTGCAAAGAGTCAAACACGAGCAGTGCCACTTTGGGGCAGGGAGAGGGGGATTTCTGCAGGGAACTTAGCCCCTGCATGGGCCGCGCCCCAGCGCGTCTGACACACCTGAGACCGGTTGCGAAAGGTAATCGGGTCGCCCCGCTGAAGCCAGGCCGCAAGTCCTGGGCAAGGGACAACGGCCGGTACTGTCTACGGCATTGGCGCCCCCTCAGCCGAGGGACGATGCTCTCGCACGCGGCCCTAGAAGGGGCACCAAAAGGAGAGGGGGCTCGCAATCAAGACCAGCCCGGCCGCGTGGCTCAGCCGTGCCCCGGACACTGGCGGAGCAGCCGCCAGGGGGCGACCAGGAGGTGCGAGACCAAATTGAAAGGGGACTGCGCAAATGTGGGTGAACCTGTTGACGTTCGTGTGCTTTCCATTCCTTGAGGCCCCCTTTTGGGCTGGGCATTTTGTCGGACACAGCAAGCCGGCGTTTCCGGGTAAGTGTGGCCTGCTTATTACGGTGCACGAGGTGATTTTCACGGAGCGAAATGTACGGCCAACGCGGCAAAAGCACGGCAGCACTCGGCGCGAAATGTACGGCCAACGCGGCAAAAGCACGGCAGCACTCGGCACAGCGCTTGCGCAAAATACTGGAGGGTTCAAGAGTCGTGCATGTGTTGAACATTGCGAGCACTACGCCGTCTTATGTACACGTGATCGACTGCTTTTCGTCCTCAGCTGACTCCTCCTGCACTCTTGCGCACTTGATAGCCGTGCACCGGCCCGTCGCAATGCGAGAAGCGTAGCAGTCGCACGCAGAAATGGTACAGCCAAGCATGAGGCCTTGTGCAACATTTCCCAAGTTTGTGCAGTACGAGTGTGGTTGGATATGTCGAAAGATAGAAACGACGAAAAGGGGGCCGAAACCACAGCGCCTTGCTTTGGGAACAGGTAAACAGGGAGCAAGCAGCGTTATGCATTAAGTCACACGGTTTCTGCCAAGTGTGCGCGCCGGGCCGAAGGATGTTCAAATCTTCGCGAGAGCCATGCTGGACAAGGCTCTGGTTGCAGGGATGAGTCACAACGTTCAAGCGATTGAGACTCGTTTGTCCTCGTTCTTGCGCGTGAGCACACAAACCCTGCCTGAGAGTAGCGATGCCTGCAGAGTTCACAAATGCGCAGACAGCTCGCTGACATTCGCAGAATGGCAAGTGATAAGCCCTTCTTCAGCCCCGTTGGGCCCCGGCATCACGTGCCAGTCACAATTCCAATCAGGACACACACCAATTAAAGCAATGAAAGCACCCACGTCGACCCCCGCCCAATTTGGACGAATCCAACGTCCAGCGCTCGGCCAGCGATCCCTTTGCCTTCGGAACACTGCCTGTCCGTTAATCGCACCATGATTTCTGCGACTGCCTGAGGATAAGCACTGCGCAATATGTCCTGTCGCGCGCCAGGGGCAATCGCCGCCCTCCACGTCCGGGAACCTTCCCCTCTGCACCTGCCTTCATTTGTTACCACAGCCCCTGGAAAATTTCCCGTTTCAAACAGGCGGTATTGCATTGGAAATGGGCTCATACTGTGTTAATGGGGCCAAATCGTACATTTAAAATTCGTTATCGTCTTCACATGCTGACCGATTGGTGGCCTTCGAAATGCGGCACAGCTACCACTTTCCACAACTCGGGTTTTAAACGGGTTAGCGGCGGAGCAGCTTTCCCAGCGCCGCGCTCGCATCCCGGATTGCCACATGTGAGCATGGAAAACCATTGCAGTAGTGAACAACAGCGGCAACAATTGCACAATCTAATTGCTCTCGTTGGCGAGGCTCGTTGGATACATAGTCTAAACCTCGGAAAAGCCCATCGCACCGCGCCGCCACGCCCGTCTTGGGCATCCAAACCCCGGCGCGATTTCGTGGCCGCCATCCACCTGACCAGAGCCCGCCCTCCTGTCCCTCAGTTCCCAGTATAGTTTATGTTGCAAGGCCGCCCAGCCCAACTGCCCTGAGGATTGTCACATAGCTTTTTAATGAATCCCCGATGCGACATGTCGTGTGCATCTGCACGGCGCCCTGCCACATGTAGGGACGCCCCAAGGTTGCAACAAGTTCGACCAGGTCGGTGCGGATTAAGGTGGTCCGGCCACCCCTCGCCCTGAGCAGGCAGGGGCCGGCAAACCAAGGGTCGGAATGCCGCGGTTCCAATTGCGGAGGGGCTGGCTGTGTTGCGGTCCACTTGGCGCCATCATGACTCGATGATCACCCTGTTCTATTTACGTAGTCATTGCTTCGTTGAACAAGGGTCTCGACTCCATCGGGTCACATGCGCATCCGGTGAGGGCCAGATGACATGACCCTACATGAGGACAAGCTCGCTCGGGGGCACGCACAATACCGGCAGTGAACGTCACCGGACGGCAATTGGTGCTTGATCGTACTCGATGGCAATCGCTGGTACCCGTGAATACAGCGCAGTACCGTGGCGCAGAACGCGGCACGCACCATGTGGCGCGGTTCACCAAATTTGATCAACCCGAGCCGCCTCAAGTATCGTCAGCCTCGGCGTGGATCAACGCCTCAGTGCCTACCTCATTGCCTTGTTCTGTAAAAAATCATGATGATGATGAGGAGGGTCAACGCCTCCCAAGGCAACAAAAAAGGCTGCGCAACGGCCAGAATGATGCCCCCTGGCGTCGATGGCCCCCCTCCCCGCCCACCCCAGGTCACTCCGCCCGTACCTCACGCGCCAGCCGGGCCTCATTTCAATCGAGGGCCATTGAGGCGGTCACGTCACTCGCAGTCTCACACATCGGGCGTCTGTCACTGGCCGGCGTTGGCCAGCGCGGTGACCTGTGGACTTAGCCGTTTCCTGTAGGATGGCCCCATGCACAGGGTGACAAGGGGTTTGCACGGCGAGTCCCCGCGCCCAAAGACGGGGCGCAAACCCTCGGCACTCCCAGTGGACGCTCCGCACCCCCCCCACCCCGCCACGGCGCCGCCCTGAGGTAGGCCATCACCGAAGGCAAACGCGACGATTCCCGGGGCGCCCTGGGGCCCGCCCCTTGGGCCCACTCCCATCGGCATGGCGGCTGGGACAAATCTGGGTCGCACTCGCTGACTGAGCGCTGTGGGATTGGCAGGCAGGGATTCCGGCGCGCCGCACGCGCCAGGCATGGACGCCCCCCCAAGGTCCGAGAGCGCGTCACCGGCGATGACGCCCAGACCCGCGTTCGGCCGCCTGCGGGCGCAGCACACCGTGTGCAAGAAGACGGTGAACGGGGAGGTGGGGGTCTCGCGCGGCCACGGCCGGGGGTTTGGGAGCGCGCGGAGCCGTCGGCCGCTCGGGAGCCGCGATTCTCGCCGGCTCGCGTGAGTCGGGCAGTCGTCGTCGAGTTTTGCGCGCGGCAGATTGTCCAGTCATCGTGCTGTGTCACGGCGGGAACCAGTCATTTGAGCGGGGTGAGGGCCGTTTCAAGTTTAGAGGCGGGCCGACAAAAAGCTTTTGGCTCTCGGTGGGGGGCTTGCCGCATCGATTTCCGTGCTATTGAAATGTTTCGGCCCACAGACCCGGGGATCAATGAATTTGGTGACTGGAGCTCCCTCCCAGCAGAATGGGTGGGACGAATGGACGCGAACAATGAACCCCTCTGGGGCAAGCTTGGGCCCCGAGCTAGGCTGCTTTCACAGGCAGAACGGGGCCACCCAAGCAGAGAGGCGCCGGTGAGAGATGGCGCGAGTGCCAGCGGTGGATTCGATCGCCGATCGGTGTTCCCGGGTGCGCAGGATGTTGTCTTCTATCGGGATGCTTTCGCCACGACGGAGGCGGGCGAGGAGTGGTCGTTCTACTGCATGTGCGACGGGCACGGCGGCGCGGGGGCTGCGAGCTTTGTCCGGGCCAACATGGGCAAGGTGCTAGGGCCCATGGTGCCCAAGACGCCTCTGCCGGACATCGAGAGTCCAGGTGGGCGGCGGATGTACTGCCGTCGGTGGGCCATGGGCCCGCGCGTGGCCCCCAATCACAATACAGACGCGGCCTTACGCATGGGGGAGAATACCTTTTCGCTTGAAATTGGGTGGCTTCGTGGCCCGATGTACGCGGCCCAAAGAGGCCACGTCGGTTCCGAACGACGCAGCTAAGCGCCTTACAGCGTGTCGGTACGCGTGGCCCACTCCCGGCCTGTAACACTCACGGGAGCGTTTTCTGAAGTGGGATGTACGCTCCAGGGACACGGCCCCCTCGGTACTTTCGTAGTGAGCGACCCAGTCAGGATGGCAGAGCGCAAACGGCGACCTGCCGCCAGAAATTGCTGTCCCTTTCGTTTAATCCCTCGTCGATGGCGCTGTGCAGAGTTTCAGGGCTTCTGCCAGCAAGTGAGGAGCGCCGTCATTGACGCCTTTGTCACCATCGAGCGAAAGTTCTTCACCGAGGCTTCTGGGGAGCTCTCAGGTGAGCGCCCCCGCTGGCCCCGCATTCTCAAACGCTCCCTTGGCGCCCAGCCGCGTCCCGCAGTCGCGTGCGCCAGAGTCTCCGATGCGGCTCTTGCCCCCGTCCAAATGGCCCGGGCCCCAAGGTCCTGTTGGCTTCCTCATTCCGGCAGCACACCCTCCAGTCGATCCCGGCGTCATTCGAACGCCCATGCCTTCACCTTTTTTTTTTTTCTGTGCCCGTTGTTGTGCACTGTTTGGCCATCTGGAGACGCGTCCGGGGGCAACGTCCCAACGGCAAAGCGCAACGGCCTCCGTCCAGCGCCCCCTGCCGGCCCAGCCGGGCTGCGACTGACGCACCAAGCCGCAGGCGCCCAACTCACACCTGCGCTCAATCACGATCCAGGCACGCAATCCAGGCATTGCAACTCGGCGAGCATCCCGCCCCTAAACTCCCTCTCGCTTTCCCCCGTAGGCACCACCGTGACGCTGGCCCTACTGTGCGGGCGGCTGCTGACCATGGCCAACGTGGGGGACGCGGACGCCGTTCTGGACACCGGCACCGACTCGTTCATGGCCACGCTGAGCCACCGCATCGAGTGCAACGACGCTGAGCGCGAGCGCCTGGCGGCCAGGGGGATGCAGCTGGCCCTGGCGTCGCCGTACAGGCCGGAGAGGCCGGCGCACGCCAAGGAGAAGGGGGTGGGGCCCCTGAGGGCCTTTCCAGGGTCCGTCTCCGTCAGCAGGTCCATCGGCGACTTTGCCGCCGGAGAGCACATCACATCGTGCCCGCACCTGTTCCAGGTGGGACCCCGGCCCATGGGCCTTCCCAGGCTCCCATTGCTGACTGAACTTGGCCCGCTCGATGTGTCCGTGTCTTGAGGAGACGGTCCTGCGAAGGTTGATGGTCTTGAGGAGATTGGCGTTGTGCGTGAGATGCCACATTGGGTGTTGGATTGGGCCATGCATTGCAAACAGCGACTGCGGCGGCGAACCGCTTGGCCATAGTGTGTGGCGAATGTCGGCTTTGTTTTCAGCCGAGTTCTCTGGCAGAGTGCTTGACCTGATGGCCTGAGACAGGGAATTTTGGCTGGCCCACAGATATATCTGCCGACGAGCGGTGCAAGGCTGTTGATGGGGAGCAGTGGCCTCTGGGACATGGTCCAGTGGGCAGAGGCAGTGGAGCTCATCCGTGGGACGCCAGTCAAGGCTGCAGCAACAAAGCTGATCGAGCTGGCGTTGGTTCAGAACAACTGGGCCTACCACCAGGACACCAGTGCCGTGGTAGTAGACATGCTGCCCCCCAAGGTTGGGGATTTCCCCAAGGTTGTGAAGGGAAAGGCGAAGAGGGCGGCGGAACAGCAAAAGCAGCCACTGTCTCTGTGCAATCTCGGTGGCTACCTGTGCACCAAGATGAACAGGAACAGCTTTTCTGACAGGAGTATGCAGTCCGACAGTGTACAGATCGTTGCAAATATTGACGGCTGGGTCTACGCAAACGCAGAGTATACAGCACGCAGAGCTGCCACGCCACGTACTAACAGTTCCCCCATGGGCTCCCCTTCAGCCTTCAGGCACAGGGAGTTTGGCAAGCGATCTGAAACGCCAGTGGGTTCTGAACGTGGCTTTGACAGCAGGAGGTTTTCAACAGGTGGCTGGAGTTCCTCCCCAGACTCTGGCGATGAGGACTCCGTCGTGTCGCGCCACTCCCCCACCTACAGCTCCTCCAGCAAGTTGTGGTCTCAGGACTCAGCACACGAACCCATGAGAAGGGGTAAAGACGCCACCCATGTACATGCAAAGCGGGCACCCCGGGCCGAGATGGACTTGGTGCACAAGCACCACTCCGGTGGGTGGGCAGACACCACCACACACAAGGGAAGGCCTGAGGGCAGGGCCAGCCCCGCAAACCTGCCAGGGGACAGGAGGAAGGCGAGAAGTGTACTGGACACGGCCCATCTAAGGGGCGCTGACATGCCTCGACGGTCCCCAAGGCCATCCCCAAGGCCATCCCCGAGACCGTCCCGAAGGATGTCCCCAAGACTGTCCCCACGGGAGACAGGTCGAAGAAGCCCCCCGTCCGCTGCGAGAATCCATGTGGTGCCTCCCAACAACGACCCGCCAAAGGAGCCAGAAGACGAGTTTGGCGAGGGCGCAATCGAGGTCGGGGTGGGCACGCTGAACTCCTGGGCCAGCCCGCAGGATCGGGCTTTGGGGGAGTACAGCTCGAGGCACCTGGGCCGCCTGAAAACTCACTGTGATTCAACAGAATGCGGCAACATGTCTGGGGGCGGACAGGAAATCTCCGTGGCGGGGTGGGCTGGCAGCGTCCAAAGCCAGGAGGTTACGCTGTCTGCTTTTGCTGGTTACTGATGTGCATCAATATTCATTTGGGGACTGACGGGCAGAGTTGTGAAAGCGAGATGGAGCAACAGGCCCGTTTGCCCCATGACCTGGGCTTGATGCATGTGCAGTTCGAGGGTTGAATTCATTCGTTGGCGACATGCCACGGAACAAGCGAATGGCGTCGTGCTGGAATCAAGGGCACCAGGGATTGAGAGTGCACTATCACGGCACCAGCAATCCTCCGGAAATAATTCTATGGTTGAGTGTTCCTGTTGGTGAGGTGCAATGAATAAGAGTATGGCGTTTTCGCCATCAACTGCACAAGATAACGAGAGCCCCTGGTCAAGGGAGCTTTCTAGATTATTAGACCTGGCGCAGGCACCCCTCGGGATTAGGGACCTCTTGATGCCATGCTGCTCTCAGCCGACTGGGATCTGGGGCGCACCATTGGCGCTGCACTGCTTGACCAGCACGGCCCCATTCTGCAGTTGTTTGCCAAGTGAAGGCAAGAAATTGTTTCCACGTCGCGACGGTGTGGCAATTCATCTGAAGCCCTTTCGCAGGACGAAAAGGGCCGGAACTCAATTCTCTTCGAGTGTGGCGGTCAATCGGCACATTTGGTGCTGAAATTCCGTTGTCGGATGCAATGATTCGTTGGTGGACGATGCGGGTGCGATGTCGCGCCAGCTGCGAAGTTTACAGTGCTGGGGAAACGAATGTTTCTTCAGTTTTTGGCGGTTGTATTTTTGTCCGTTGTACTGACGTTGGCCCTTGTACATCGACCTTGCTTCATGAAGCGAGGCCTTTGTTCCTGCGCTGTGTTTCGCATGAGACTGCGCCTGGTCTGCGCCACAACTGCGTTGTTCACCTGCGGCTTTGGCTTCTTGACACGTGCAACTCAGTGGCTGGGGCTCGACAGAGCTGTCCCACAGCATGTGTTGTGCTGCGTACTGCATGTTACAGTATGTAGTGCAACGAGGCCACTTGGGCGCACTCAAGTCGTGCAGTCGACATCTCCCGTGAACTGGTTTCATTTTCCCATTGGGCGTGGTTCCAGTCGAATGGATGCCGTAACGTCTGTCACATGAGCTGCATATTCAAGCGATATGAATGACTGTGCCAATGGAACAGGCGTGAACAGGCACAAAAACGCCGTTGCTGCGCTTTGGCTGGTGGACAAAAGAATGGACGAACAAAAACAATCCAGCAGATGTGCCAGCGATTGGTGTAAACAGAACAGCGCCAGCGGTTTGTTCGACATGGGGCGTTGGCCAAAGGTGCACATACCCATCGAATGAAGGGCTGAGCATGGAAGATCGCGACCCAAAGGCGCTCTGAGCGTTTGCAGTGGCGGAAAGGAGCTGAATGGGATTCCTTGGGGCACAGTCGCTCTGAACTCACATTAGTGGTTTGAACGCACATTTGTTGTGTTCGCTGGACCACGGATCCCAATCCAACCAGCACGTTGTTCCATATCGGTGGGTGCTTTGCGCCTGGGTTTGTCTGGGGCATCTGTTGCTGACACAGGAGAATCACATTGTCAGAGATGCATCCACCGTTCCGGGCGGTCATCATGATGGCAATGCAGCAACGATAACGGGGTGCCTCCGTGATTTCATCTGGTGGGGAGCGGCGTTGGCATCCAAAACAATGTCCACACAGTGCTACCCCATCTGTTGCTTAGCCCGTTGTTCCAAAAGATGGTGCGGCCCATTCGCGGCGGGTTGCAGAGGAACAATCTGAGCATCTGGTCTGTGGTCAGGGCTGCTTCGTGCCGCAAAGGGGTATGGTCCCATGCATGCCAAATACGACACACCGATGCAGAAGTGCTAACCCCTAATGGAACTTCTGCCTCTTTTGAGGTTTCGACGCCACGCACCACGCCCCAGCGTTCTCATCTTGCCAGCGGCGGGCTCCTTCTCCCTTGGAATCTTCTGACTTGCGCTGCAAGGCTTGCGCCTTACGTCACCGTAGATAAATCTCCTGGGATGATGCGGGTTTGTCCCTCACAGACAAAACACGGCGTGCGTCCTGGGACGCTGCCATAACACCACACGATGCATCTGCTCTTTCCTCGCAAGCGCGCAGCCCAACAGGCAGATTGCAATTTGGTACAAGGGCTCCCAATGCACAACAGGGAGGCCTTTCGACGACGCAGAAAACCCCCAACGGCCCCACCAATTTCCATTTGGTGACTTTGCAGGTGCGCGTGCTGGATACATGGTAAAATTCTGCAAAACTGCACTCAGTGCCATTTGAATGGCAATGGCTAAAGGCGCGGCCATGGAAGTTGGGCCATCTGAGGCGCCGGGCCATGCATGCTGCCCTGGCAGAGGTGAGGAGCTCATCCCAGGCAACAGAGTTACAACTGCCGATAGCAATCCCACAGGGCTGAAGGCCCACAGCGAAGTGTGGATGGCTAAAAAACTCGTTGTCACAAGCTTTTTCAGCCTCCACTGCTTAATCCACGCCCACACCCAGAATAGCCCGGCCATGAGAGAGCCCACCAATCCATGAAATGTGCCCACCCCACCCAGCAACTGATTCTCTATTCATATCCACACCCTCAAAGTACAGGTTTGGTACCATTGATGCATGCTCCATACTTTGGTATCACGCTTGTCAGAGGACGCTTCTTGTTTGCTGTAGACAGGAAAATGGTTCAAAAACGTCTCAGTGGCGAGTGCTGTTCCAATACGACCTAATTTCTGGTTCTTCAAACTGCATCACAGCCCCTACATGTGGCTGGTTGTTCCCCCGCTTCCTTCGCCGCCAAGCACAGCAACTGCGGTGGTCAGCTTTGCAACATCCACCGAGCCTGGATGAACCTCAACCAGCAGCAGCGCTGCCTGTGTCGGCTCCAGGATGCTTAACAACACCCTGCGGAGGCCGTCCACAAATGCCTGCTGCTCCTGCCCGACGTTGCGCTTGACTAGATCCCAAACCAGCCTCATGTCCTTGGACCCAGCGCCACCAGCTCTCAGTGCAGCTGCCGCCTGGGCAGCCATCCCCAATAGCCAGATCATTGCTTCGAACACAAGGAGCACGGCGCACAGATTGCAGAAACTACTTCCGTAATCAACTGTCCAATTCCATTGAATACATACTGTCACAACACAGCAACATAACAAGGCAAGCCCTTGCACCCAGCTGGCGATGTCAGGAGAACAGTAGTGAAGACTACAGTGTGTGCAGAGCGCAGATTTTGGATGTACACGAGGGCATTATCGATGGGTGACTCAGAAACTGGCAGCTGTTCCTGTGTCAGTGCTGTTGATTGGCGATATCGCAATTCTGTGGTTTCTTGTTGGCTGCTGTGTCTCATGATTTGAGCAAGTGGCACCTTGCATGGCAGCACAGTACTCCATGCAGCAGCATAGCATTGTATGTAGAAGTGGACTCCAGGACCTGTTTCAAACATACTTGGCTTCACTTTTATAATCATTTGGTGTGATATACAAGCTGCGGGCCAAGAATTTCAAGAACCAGCCATTCCTTGCAAACCTACGCCAAACAACCTGAAGCAATACACACATTACATCGCAATACAAAGTTTTCAGAGGCCACGGGCTTCCTTCTGCAACAGCTTTTGGAATTTCATCGGCACGACATTGTGCAGGCCACTGCCTTGTAGAGTATTATTGCTTGCGTGCAGTGCCCATCATGGGATGCAAAGGCCAGAGCAGTTGCTGTCACTGCAATGGGAAATATTTTGGGTCGCTCATGAAAAGGAAGACAACAGCATCTGTCCAGATTTGACAAGTGTTGGCATGCGCATGAGATTTGCCAAGGGGGCCACAAGACATCGCTTGTCATATTGTTCTTGCTCATAGAGATACGTGTAGCAATTCCGCCACAATAGCTTACATACTCAACATGGCACAGGAGACCCTTGCTCAGAAAATTGATCATTTCAACAAGATTCTGCGCTGCCAAACCCCAAACGCATGCTTAGCACTTTTGCGCAGCACACAACCTTTGTCCAGGCACACATTTTCTCCCCTAGAGTTGGTTGAGCTAGCCCGCCTGGTACACAAGCAGCAGGCCGCAACCACTCCTGTCTGCTTCAGGTGGACAATGCTAGCCATCTTCAGGCAAAGACTTCCCAGCTACGGGCAAATTTTGATTTCTGCCAGCAGTGGACGGACACACCACAGTGCCTTGTTGGTTTGTGGCTAAGACTGATGCTGTCACTAGGCTTGAAGTCAGCAGGTACTCGTGCCAAGACCAATACAGTGGGGTGTCCTCTTTAAGGCCACCCTGAATAAGGCCAAACGGTCGATAAGGTCGGTCAAAATCGGCCATATCTAGTGGCACGACCTAAAGTACTAGAAAGACGTCGCCACAGGCAGTTTCAGCGTGTGGAGGGCGCCACCATGGCTTGAAAGCAAGAAGTGTAGACCACCCCTCGACACCCCCCAACCGCTTCGCTACACTATACACAAGTGCTCTGGGTGTGTGCTCTGTACCTCCACGGGATCTGTGGAGAAGTCGATCCCAATGGCGACTCAGAAATGGATCGTGTGTGTAGCCTTTGCAACGATCGGGTTGTTGCGCCACCTCGATCCATTGCCGACAAAGGGCAGTGTATGGGCTAGTTGCTGCCACCTTTCGATGCTATGGACATTGACCAAATAGGCCAAATCTTGTTTGGGAGTGATTCGGAGATTGCCAAACAATTGGGCGAAGACAATGCCGATGGCTCTGGCGCGAACAAAGACAAGTTCAAGCGACTACCGGTGGAATCATCGGCTGCTCAAGGGGGCGGTAAACGCACGAGGTTGACGATAGAACAGAAGGTTGGTATGTTGGATTCTTTGAAAGCGAAAGTCGGCCACGCTGCCTTGGCCAACAAGTTCAACTGTGGGGAAAGAACTATTCGACGGGTGGCGGCAGAGAGATCCAAGTTCGGGGAATGGCTGGTGCAAAAGGGCAGGACCGCAGCAATGGCAAAGGCTATGATGCGAACCCTTTACGCTGTGTTAACGCAGGCACAGGGGCGTTCGCAACCCCATAGCCCTGGTCACCCAGTTCAAAACCACCCTCCTTCGATTGGACGACTGCCTATCGACAATCAATGCTACCAAGTAAAGCACTACGCTTCTTATTGGGGAACGCATAAAGTACTAACAATATTTTGATACCAGCATACCCTTAAAAATAAACAATCTACTCTACACATTCTACGATGTTAAATGTGCCGTAAATGGCTTCTACAGCTTTCAATGGGCTGCGGAACTCAATATGGCCAACGGCCAATAATGCCGGTGAAATGGGGTTGTCACAGGAGTTGTCCTTAAAGAGGCCACCCAACTGTATGTTTTTCATGTTGCTGTTATTCATCCATTCCATTCATCGCACTACAGCATTTTCCATAGCAGCACATGCAAACATAGCATACCATCCACATACCATACATGCACAATACCATACTACACATGACACTCTAAATGGTACACTCTAAATGACTCTCTGAATGAATCTCTACAAGGTACTTCCTGTGAGCAGGCACACAACAGCAGCATCACCTACCTGCACATTGAGCCTATATCTCTCTTCTAATATCCTTCTCAGGCATGCCAGATGCTCCGCCCTCAGCTCAACCATCGCGTCCTTCTGGTAGGCATTCAGCCCCAGCATGGCCAAGCACTTCCTGAACTTCTCCATCTCCTCCAGGGTGAGGTGCACTTGGAACCCCGACTGGGAGGTGCTGACCAGGTCGGAGGGCCTGGGCGTTCTGAGCCTCGCGATGCTCACCTCCGTCTCTGTGATGTTGGACACCATGTCACCCAGCATCTGCGCCACGGGTGCGCTGACAGGTTTGCTGCCGTTGCAGATGGCATGGCTATCCAACACGTCCTGGAGGGCCCTCACCTGCATCTCCATCTTGCCCATCAGCCCTCCCAGATTGACAGCCACGCCTGTGGACAAGTCACCGGACGAAATCGAACCCTCCCGTGGCAGCGATGGCTCGAAGCCAGGGGAAGGTGCAGCGGTGCCTGCACCTGCGCCTGGAAGATGCACCAGTGGGGGTGCGCCCAAGCCAGATGAAGCCCTTCTCGGCCTGCTGAGCTGCTCTTCATGAAGGCCTTGCCTGAAGCCCTGCACTGGGGCCAGCGACAGTTGCTCCTGAGTCCGTTGCAACAGGCTGCCAAGATCTGGATTCGAGGGCCCCGCGGCCCCTGGCTGTCCCGTTTCCAGAAAGCCCCACTGGGGACTCGTGCCCACTCTCTGTGGATTGGTGTAAACAGCATCAATGTACTGAGGCCCATGAGCGCTGTGTCGTTGCTGAAGGGCCTCAGTGCTAAAGGGAGACACTGTGTGGCCTTGAACCTGAACCATGGGAATCCGGCCGGCAGGTACCCCAGAGGAGCTTGATGGGGATGTAGAACGGCCAAACCGTTGCTGGTGCGGCAGTTGATGGCTGTCGTGGGAGCCAGAAGCAAAAGGGGAGGGATCCAAAGCAGGGGAAAGGGGGGCCAGCATGGATTGGTCGAGCCCACTAGAGGTTTGGGGCATGTGCCCCAGGCCCACTCCCAGCTGCTGGCCGTCAGGGCCCTGGCCGGCTGATCGCAGGGGAGCCTGTGTTGAAATCTTCGATCCAGATGCCTGCAGGCTCCCATGCAACAGCCCAGGGTCTGACAGCTGTCGAACTGCACAACCAAAAGGGCACAGAGCAGCAAGGTCAGTTATACTCTTTTCCACACTGCAGAAACTCGATGCAGAGCTTCCAACTGCAACAAGATGAGCACCATGGGCCATGCCGCTGAGAACCTGTCCCACTCTGTTGACAATATGCCTGCCACAGTCGCACGAGAACACAGCTAGCAGAAGACACGGTAGCAAGAACCCTCAGTTGGAGTGCAAGACAGTGTGTCAGCCTAAGACGAGAAAAGCAGCAGCTCCAGGGGTGTGCGATTGTGTCGCCGCGACAGCTGTGGCTGACATCTGAATAATTTCCTGTCCGTGGCGACAGTCTGCCCTGGCGATTCCTGGAGCAACTTACACTGTCAAGCTGTGCAAAGTACTTATGCGGAGAAATGCTGGTGCTGGTTGTGGTTCATGGTCTCTATCATCAAAGACTTCTCTGCAAAGCACAGCAGAACCATGGCACCAAAGATGGCAGTGGAAAGTGCATGTTTTCCGTGCCCATTGTAGCATGTCATGCTGTTCAAAAGGCTGTTATGGTTGAGCCAGTGCATGATTCTGTTTTCTTGCAAGAATTGAATTTGCACTTGCGCATGCAACGCGATGGCAGCAGCAAGCGACACATTGGCAGTGTGCTGCTGGCCAGATGCTACCCATGATGCTGAGGACACTCCCCTGTCCTGGATTCTGTTCAAACCTCTCATCACGCAGGCTTCCCTGAGCGCATGTTTTGTTGCTGCAAATGTTGCCATTGGAGACATCCACATCACAGAATAGAGTCTCACCATCTTTGTTTCCCACAATGTGGGCACCCATTGTCTGACATGTTTCTCCTTGTTACAGCGAATCTTCAACATTCTGCTTTGGCCCCACAGAGTCCTCAGCCACCAACATAGTGTCCTGCAGCCATGTGTGCACTGCTGCTCAGGAGATGTGACTTGTTGGCTTCGGTGGTGCGGTGTTGTTCAGGTTGCTGACGCCTTGCTGCATTGACCAAAATGGCCTTCCTGCTCACAAGGGACTGGTCATATTGAATGCGTGTACGGCAGCTGAGTTTGCACTGTGAACTGTGACACCTTGTGAGCTTCACAGTTCACTACACACAAAGTTCACAGGGGGCTGGTGGCCTACACTTGTCCCTTTCCTTATCGTGTGGATGCGTATTAACTGATTTTTTCCGCCTTCCACATTCACTGTTCATTAGTTGTGGACTGGTCAGTTTACCTTTCCAAAGCCAGTAAGCATTCCCGGAGCAGTGCAACATGCTGCTGTGACTCTTCGGTTGTAAGTTCTTGGCTTGGCAGGATAACTGATTGCATGCTGCCATGCTGCTCCTTCTTAAGTTCATGATAACCTCAGTTTCCCTCCATTTTGGGACATCGACTGAGCACCAACTGCAGGCCCCCAAAACTTGCGCCGACTTTCTTCCCACCCTACCCCCAGGCCTGCGCTCCTGAAAAGTCTTGTGAAATATCTGGCCATACTGCCAGCACTTCCTGCAGGCTGAAAGCCCAAACCGCTGTCCAGCACCACGCAAACCGGATATAATACTCCGTGAGCGTGCCCAACTGGGTCCCTGTCCCCAACGAGGCAACGTCCAGGGCCATGGACCCCTGAGCCGCTCACAAAGGCGACAGCTACGCTGCAGAGCCCCTTGTGGAGCTCCCCTGCCCAATGTAACCCATCCTAAACACCACCAGAGTGCTTCCGCACACGCTCGAGGCCATCACTTCCAATGCACACCGCAGCGCTGATGAAAGCCAGACTACAGCATTCACATGCAGCTTCAACAGCTGCGAGACCGTGGCGCGGGGTTCTTGTAACCTCGTACAGAATCACAGTGCGAGACACGCGTGCGACCTCCCAGGGCTTTCCGAGCATTGCCATACCCCAACAAAAAATTTTCACCGTCGCGCGGGGCAAACGCTGGCAACAGCCTCCGCGGAGCTGCCCCGCCACTCACCAAGCGAATCGCGGCGCCGCGTCCGCTGCATCTCGCCCTGCATTCGGTCGATGACGGCCTGCTGCTCGGCGACGAGCGCGGCCAGCCGCTCATTGGCCTCCCTCAGGAGCACGTTTTCGCGGTCCACGCTGTCGTACAGGGCGGTCCTCTCCTCCAGCCTCGTGGCCACCACTTCCAGCTGCTCCCGCCTGTCCCTCTGCCGCTCCCTGCGGCCGCGCAACAGCCGCGGCTAAGTCACGGCATTGCCACGCATGGCCGCGGGCCAACGCGTCCTCTCGCGGCAGGCGAAGTTCTTCATTCTTTTCCTTCGCGATCGATGCCACTCTGCCGGGGAGGCTCCACGCTCTCACTCGGGGGACGACCCCAAAGGAGGCTTCGCATGCCGACGCCATTGCCAAGTTCTCCGCGCTGCGTTCGGAGCACGAACGAAGGCAAGGCGAGGAGACGGCCAAGACCAGGCTCCCGCGAAGCAAAGCGGAGCCCCTGCGTCTCGCAGGCGACGAAGGACGTGCGCGCGAGCACCCATCCAAAACGCCCATCTGGGCCTTCCACCGCATCTGCGCCCCGTCCTGCGCGCGTCAACACCACCGTCGCCTTTTTCCGCTGCCATCTTGAAACCCGCCGTGGTCAACGCCATCCGAAAGCGTAGACAAGGCGAATGGGACAGGCGGCTCTTTACGTCTCCTTACGGGTCTTTAAGATCGTCCTACCTTGGGCGATCTTCGTCCTCACCTGTATCGCTTCTGGCAAAGTTTGTTGAGGTGCAGCTGATGTGGCGTGCGCCGCCGCGCGGCCCTCCTGCCCTTCCCCCTCCCCCTGTCACCGCCGCCGCCGGCCTCCCCTTCTTCCGGCCGGCTCGGGCCGGCAGCGCCGTCCAGCGGGATTCCCGTGCTGGTGCGCAGGCCGAAATCCTGGCCAGGGCCCTCATCCCTGGGGGCGCAGCGGCATTCCGCAAGCGCGTCAGCGAGTGCCACAGACGAGAAATCACATGCGGGGGAAGGGGAAGGGGGGTGGGGGGGTGGGGGGGTGGGGGGGGTGATCCAGCGTTGGAGCGGTCTGAACTCGTCGAGAGATTGAGCCTTCCACCGCCAGGGTTCCGCCAATGGTGGCCTCGCGCGACGAGACGCGAACTGGTTCTGTGTGCATACGTTCGAGGCGGGGCGCCGTCGAATCGTCGCCAGGCAACAGAGGTGTCAGTGTTCGGGTCCGCGGCCAAGCGGGAAGGCCCGCACCGATCGCGCGTACCGCGCCGGGCGCCAGGCGCCCGGGAATCGCGCTCCGGAGCTCACCGCGGGGGGTCATCGAAAGGAAGCAGTCCACCGCCGCCCTCCTCGTCTGCGTACCGCACCACAGAACACACACAGGCGCGTCACAAGCGGCCTTCGGCAGATACCCCTCTGCCCATTCGGCCGTTCCCCCGTTCTCCACCGCGTCCTCGCCCACCCTCGTGCACTGGGGCCGACCCAAACGCGAACCTCCTGTTCGTAAATTCGCACAGCCATCATTACCCCCCTCATGACTCATCCAGGTTCGACACAGCCCCAGATCAGGTCGTTTGCCGCCGACTGTCGGCCGCCGCGACCCCCCGCACCTTGCGGGCCCGGCGCCCGGCCCTCCCCGCCCTCGCCGAAGCGCTCCAGAAAGGCCTCGAACGCTCGCTCATCCGCGTCTCCACCTGTGGACTCCAGATCCTTGCCAGGCGCCCCGGCCATCGCTCGCCCCCGCGCCCACGACACCGAACGCAGCGGATTCACAGAAGCCAAACCTCGAGTTGCTCGAGCTCAGCCACCGCCCAGGGCAGGGTAGCCCCCGCCCACCCGGGGCCACGAGCGGTCGAGCGGCCGACTGCCGGCTCCCCTGCGCGCATTCGAGATTAAAACAAAACGGGGATCAGGAATGAGGAAATCGTCCGGCGGCCCCCACAGGATCGAACCGACGCCGGCGCCCCCAAGCCGGGCCAGCGACAAGACGCCACCAGCGCGCCGCAGTCCGCCCTCCCAGCTTCCCATCCCCCGCTGAGGGCTCTTCTCAAAGTCTCTACCACCGGTCGTCCGATGCGCGCACGCGGGAGGCATCATCCCCCTCACCGTCGGCGAAGTGGCACCCCTGGTCGGTGTTTGCGCAGGCTCGGCCGCGCGCGGACGGCCTCCAGACCCCGCTGCCGCCCAACCCAGGTGCGGTCACCGCCCGGCTGCCTGCGCCCGCCGATATGTACACCGCCCGAATGACCTCATGACTCCACGTTGTCCGCTGGGACGGTTTCGCGTGGTGCAGCGCTGCGGCGCAGCGCCACGGGCGAGGTAGTGCCTTTGTCGTAACACTCGCTCCCAGATTCGACCGTAGACATCAGCCATGCGCGGATATGGGGGATCATTGCCTGACATGAGGGCATCGGAGCCGGCGTGACGTATGTCCTCATGTGCGTGCCTGGGGTCCAGCCTGTGCTCCCAGTACATTGCGCCATACTGTGGCGCACCTCCCCGCCACGAGTCCAGCTTCCTGGTGAGGCGGACCGGTCAGGCAGGTGGGGCGCACCTGAGCGCGGTCTGGGCTCATCTACTGTACTGCGTGCCCCTTTTTGGGTACGACAGGGGCGTTGGGGCTGCCAGCACTACGGGGTCATTCGCTTGAAAGGGGGGGGCTGGCTTCGCTGCCTTACCTGGCCCCTTCCCGCGCAGGTGCGCTGATTGAGTGGCTCCTCCTTACCTGATTGATGCCCGGCAGGAAGCGGGCCACTGCGCCCAAGGCACCCTGTCCGCGCGACACGAGATGCCAACGCGGCGCTCGACATCCTCATGTCGCATCTTGCCATCGGCAAGGTGATGCTCTGACAGGCGCGGTCCTATCCGTTCAACCCCGCTGCCCAATGTTAGCCCCGCCCGCGTGACATCGGGCTGCAATGCCGCGCCCGGCTGCCGCATATCGGCATGCTGGTGCTATGAGGCAATGGCCTGGAAGGTTTGGCGTCACCCCACGTTGCGCTCAGCTCCAAGGGTAGCCGTCTGCGCCGCGAAATGGGATACCAATGGTTGGATCGACCTCCGTCTGCTGGCTTCGGACCGCTGACAAGGTCACGGCACGGCAGCGTGCGTTTTTCACGGCAACGACGATGGTACAAAGTCAGCCGGGGTGGCGTGGGCGCCTGCGAGCCTGAATACTCCTTGCACAATGACCATAAGTTGCTTCTGGCCTGTCAAACCGGGCCTTGGAACATTGGGCCCGCAACATGTTTGTGTACCGGCACGTCCGGACTCTCGGCGCTCGCCGGTGTCAGATCCCCCGATTCAGGAATGGTACCAAATTGGTACCGTACAAGAGGTACCCTCCAGAGCTGTTGACAGTAACTGGTGCCGACATTGGTACTACCAATGTTGGCACCAGTTACTGTCAACAGCTCTGGAGGGCGAAATGAATATCTCCGTGATAAGTATCCTCATGAGCAGCGGGTAGACATTTTCCTGAACTGTGGATCGGCGCCATTGGTCGGCATTCAAATGCATGGCCCGGCTGATGTGTGCATGCTGTGGGCCTTCAATGCGAGAGATTTTGTATCGTTACGTTGGGCAATACAAGCGGTGAGACCTCTAGCCAATGGTGCGTTGAGCCTGGGAAGCTCAGCTGCATCCAGGTTTGGTAAGGTGCTGTGAGTACCCATGGTGCAGGTCATGCAGCATGGCATATATGCATCTACTCCCGGAGTAGTGCTCCGTGGTGTGCAGCAATGCCGGCACAACATGCCGTGTCTCATTCAGGGTCTCCGGCAGTCTGAAAACCGTCCACGCGATTCGAATCTCAAATGCCCCAGACTTGTCGCCAGGGTTGTTGTTTACGCCACAAACACAGATCGTATTTGCGTGTTTAAGCGTAAAAACAGTTTGTACGTTTTGATACGTAAAAACGCGTAAAAATACATAAATACAACGTAATACAGCTCCTTGTACATAAGGACAGTACATACAGCCTTCGGGTGTCCGGGGACTGGCAGCCGGCCGCGCTGGAATGGGCAGAAAACTAACTTTTGTTCCCCGCCATCGTGGCCCTTGCCGAGTGAGAAATCGACGCTGTGGTGCGGGTGCTCGAGGAGACGGAGGACTGATAGTTGTGCGCGACTTCTATCGTGTAACCTGAGTGTGACAACGAGCCGTAAAAACGTAAATACAACTTTACAAATGGCCACTTTTGCAAATTTACGTTTTCAGCGTAAAAACGTAAACGTAAACGTAAATAGCAAGCATGCTGGCTGTTACATATGCCTTATTGAGAGCGCCTTCGATCACGGTAACCCAACTGTTGTCCATGCACACTTGCCGCAACTGCCATACTGAATTATCCGTTGAAATGGACGGGTCAAATTTGGAAAGGTGAATTTCCTTTTCAGAATTGACAATTCTGTACCCATCCAGTCCGACCGCACGATGTTCGCCCCATGAACATGAAACGTTACGCTCTGGATATATGCAGATTTTGCACCCACAATTCCAGAACGAGAATATTTCTTACCCATCAAAGGTTCATCCTTGCGGCACCCACTATGCATGTTAGAAATTGGATTTGGCAAGGGCTTTTATTTGCATCAAATGCTTCATTCAATTTTATGGCCCACGGCATTTCCATGCATTAATGTGAGCAAATCGTGCATATTTTGTCCCGAGATCACCGATGACCTGAACTGTAGCCCCTATGATTTTCAGCACCACAACGGAATTGAACTGCATGCATTTTTCTTCTGGTTCCTCTGTCCCAGTGCTTGAGGCGTATAAATGCATGTATTCTCCTTTGCTAGTTGCATCACTATAGAAACAGATGATCTGGGTTGATTGAAGCCCTCTTCTGTGGCCAGAACGCACGAGACCAGTCTCCCAGACCCCATGCAAGGCAGACACGGTTTGCAATTGTGTACTGGAAAAAACACTAGCCTGGGGCAAGGAGCCTCCCGTTGCAACGACGTCGCCCGAGGTTGGGCCTTTTCTCGGCTCCCTTGTCCAGCAACTCAATAATGCGTCAAGCTCTGAAACGCACAATCTCCAATTCGACATCCAATACTCAAGGCCGTTTCCTATGCGGCTTGATGCATCCACATGCCCACGCACAATAGTTATCGCTCCAGCACACCGTATTATACGAATGCCAGCAGCCCCTGGAGGAACGCGCGATATTGCTGCCACTGCGCCTGACATGCCTACCGTATCCCTAACAAGCGGCCCTACGGATTCAGTCCGCTGGATTACGCAGTGGACTTCACTGGGCAGACCCACTGATCAGATCCTCGCTCCCTTACACCAACAAAATCGGGCCATTTTACACTGCGCAAAATCGTGCAAAAGCCTGTGAACATTATGTTAAGCTCGTGCAAAGCGCCCTAACCCTTGCAATCGCCTTGGAAAGGCAAGAGTTGCGGAGGATATGACGATGCCATCGGAAGCGAATGGAGGTTTCCTGTTGCTCGCGCCAACTATGGTATTTCTGTGATTTAACTTCTCCCTTTGTGGAAATGCGATTAGCATGCGCCAACCATGGTATATCTGTGATTTAACTTCTCCCTTTGTGTAAAATTCGATTAGCATGCGCCAACTATGGTGTATCTGTGATTTAACTTCTCCCTTTGTGGAAAATGCGACTAGCATTTAGGGGATTAACGTACTACTCATTAAGTACTAGTTGATGAGTTTTGCATAGGGATATGTGTGTGGGGGACGAGAACACGCCAGCAGCCTGGGCGGTGCACCACAGGGGTGGTCGCCCTTGACGGTCGCCTGGACGTCAATGCCCAAGGGCGGCGAGTGACAGCTGGTCACATATCTATATTTGGGCATGCTTTTAAAGAGAGCCACGCCCTGTTGATCACATAACAGCCTGGCCACGTTTTGGCGGGAGGCGGGTGCCACCTATTTTAAGGTGGAGCCCTTTGACCGTCTCCAGCCTGTCTTACTTTCCATCCGGTCCACTCTAGGCGTGTGATTTCGGTTGAAAAGCGGATTCTGTGAAATGCAAAGTACTGGGGAAAGTACTATGGTTTGGTTGGCGAAGCAAGGGCAAATTTTATTATCGACGTCGACGGTCACTTGCCTTTGCTTGGGCGACAGACACCTCTTGCATATGTTGTAACGTACTTTGGCTAGTATGGACTCAGGCGGAAGAGTATCCCGTCAGCCAGAAACTCGTTTTTCACGGGTGTAGCATGTGTGTCGTTTTGCCGCCCGTTGCGGTGTGCAATGTGTTGATGCACGTCTTTGCCATCTGGGTGGTGTGCTTCCATCCAAACAGGCACCCCGTTGGCATTTGATCATGTTCGGAACTGTTGCTCTATGTTTTTGCACAGAAAGGGCGTCATTAGTTGCAAAGCATTGCGACTGGGGCCTTCAGTGCTTGCAGCAACCATATTTCGGCTGTGAAGCCTTAACAACCTGCTTCGCTTCATGTTTCCTTCTGTTCCTTCCGGATTCTGCGCTTGAGCTCCCTGCCCTCTCAGCCTACACCCATCCGCCATCTGACAGTTCGATGTCCTGGCCAAAGCTTCAAGCACATTGTATGGCGTGTGCGATGCGCTACAGTCTGTGCGCCAACTCTTCGGGTCCCCAATTAATGGGGCTCATCCAAAAGTTAGTAAATTAATGATATCACTCAGCTGGCGACCCTTGAGGTCCAGATATGGTGCAAAGGGGACGTCGGCGGCCTCAGCACCTTCGCTACTCGATCATCATAAAGCAGGCTGGCGCTCAATGATCATTGAGGTCCCACCTCATGAGGTGGGAAACCCCCAAGTCATCAGTCAGGCGTACTACATAATTTTCTAGCACTGCGAGTTCAAATGCGGCCATCCGCACGGGCACAGAATTCACGACCGCGCTGCTGCGCGGCTCGAGGGAGGCGACGGAGGTCCGTTTTGTGACGGGTTCCCAGGCGGCCATCTTGGCGCTGGTGGGCGCGAGGAGGCGGCCGACGGATACGGTGGTCACTGCGAGGAGCTTCATTTGGAAGATCTTCCCGATGGGCTCCAATGGGTGCCCGCCCACTTCGACGTGGTGGAGAACGAGGCCGCGGACGCTGCAGCGACCGAGGTCAGCGACCGAGCACGCGAGGAGGGAGCGGGAGCGCGGATGATGACGCACTGCGCCCAAGGCGTCAAGCGGGTGTAATGAATCACTTCGACGGACAGACGGAACGTGCGTGGCGGTCTACGACGACATTACATCCACAATTGGACGTTAATTGGCAATTCACGACCAAACTGACCTGGGCCAAGGAGCTTGAGCGCCAGGACGCCACTTTCTTTGCAGATTTCTGACAGACACATTTGCTTGCCGGTACTGGCTGTTCCTCAACCACTTTGCAGACTCGCCCGCTTGTCGTTTTGTGGGTAGACGAAGGAAGATAGGGAGCGTGTTTTCAATGTTTGTCCTAGATACATACACGCCAGGCTGCATTTTCTTGAGTCAGCTAGGCACAGAATAAAAGACAATTTTACATGGCAGATTTCTGACCTGGTGCCTAGAGGTCTCAGAGAGTTCGTGGGCTTCTTGCGTCAAGTACGGCAAGCATGGCGTGAGGGACAATAAAATGCACAACCAATTGTCACTCACCTATATTGGTCATGCGTTTTTCCTGGTTTTCAGCACGTAGATTCTTGTAGACACTGGAAGCACCGGATGCTAATGGAACTGTGGGGAGCTATGAATGTCCCAGGATCTCCAGTGCGGATTGGTTACATGACTAGAAAATGGAATCAGTCATGATATTATTTTCCTCGGCATAAAGACCCTATGGCGAGAGGGACTCTATACGGCAATGAACAAAACATGCGATACATTCAAAAACACTGATCTGGATTCTATGCCCAACATCGCCTCTAAGGTGCAAGGGAAGTGTTTTGTCATGTTTATGTGACAAATGTAGTCAAAGGATTTGAGCGAGTTCAAAGCACTCAGAACGCAGGTAGATGACTTCGATGATAAAGATAGACTATACCAACATCATCTTACGCCCAAAGAGTCCAGTAAGATGCCGTAAAGATGCTAAGCACAACGCCAATACGTGACAGTGCATGACAAGGAGACACATGAGTCACACACGCCCGGAAAATCCTTGGAATACTGAGGAGCACCCACGTTGCCATTGGACGCGTGCGTTTGCTTAGGGGCTGCCCGCCTGGTGGTCTGCCATGGGCCTCAGTGAGACTGAGCCAGGAGGGGCGCGTGGAGCTGCCACATGATTTTTTGATGGGAATATGCTCCGTGGGGCATTATGTGGTGGCTGATCGCGGGCAGTGGGGCGTACCGGGTTGAGATGCGATGAAGCAGCAGGTGTGGCAGAAAGATTCCGGGTATCAAAAGAGCATATCTGAGGTATGGGGGTTGTTTGCCTGATGTTGGGGTGTAATGAGTAGTGGGGGCGTGGCGAAAGCTGCGGGAACACTGTATTGTTGCACTCGGCCTGGCAGCTGTAAGAACATTTGTGCCGCGTTCGTGTGTGCCTCTCGCGGCCGTCTAGGCACTCAGTCTGGCTGCCTGACTCCCTTGGCCGTATGCGCAACGTTTGCCATGGCCTGAGCGCAATAGCACAAGCACAGAACAGCACAGCGCATAGCACTTGACCTTTTCGAAGGTCGCGGCTAGTATGTGCTTTTTCTGAGGCGCTTTCCTTGCCATTCATGACCAGCACTGCCAGCCCGGGCGTGCTGGCCAAAAGTGACCAACCTTCGTCGCTGCACAGCCTCGTCGAGGGGAAAGAAGCACCTTTCGTGTATTGTATCACTACGCTGTGGACAAGGCTGCCCCGACCCGGGGGGCTGACCTGTGGCCTGACCTCGCTGACCTTTGAGGAGTGGCTGCGACCGGTTGTGGCGCTCGGGGTGGGCCAGTTGTGAGAGGTTCTACAAGCACGCTTGCGCGCTTGACGGTCAATTGGATGTTTGCCGCTCGTCTAAAGCTTCCCTTGCAGTCGCTGCTATTTTTGGCGGTTGACATCGTCACGACAAGCAAGTTCTCATGAAGAGCCAGTTCGCGCACTTGGCAAAGCTTGTTCGTTGAGCGCACCCTCAACTGACGTGGTGCTGAGGCTGTCGACGTGGCTCAGCTGCCCGTTCAGCAGCGATTTGGCCGCGCTGTCTCTGGGGATGACGGCCACAATGGACCGCCGTCCTTTTCACAACACAAATCTGGCAGACGAGCAAATGGCCCCTGAGCGTGGCCACTCCTCATTAGCATATTATCGGACGCAACCATGTGACATCCCAGTCATGTCGCCATCGGCGGGGCGAAACAGGGTGGAAAGGTGCAGGTAATGGATAGACAACGGGAAGTGCTCAAACAAGACAATGTATCACTGACGACCCCAATCCCTCAAGAGACCTCGCTTGGGCGGTGTGGGGGGTTTCCAAGCTTAGACAGTAACTTGATTCTTGCACGCGTTCATCCATCAAACAAGTGCGATTCTTTCCCTAATAACACAGAACCATGCGCTACACGACAAACCAATTGATCTAGAGCCAGCTCTGCCAAACAATACCAACTTACACCACAAAGCGCTGCAATGCCAGCACAAAGTTGCCATCAAATTTGCGTCTAACCCTAAAAGCAGGCCGCTCGCAGTAAACTACCGCGGAATGCCCACCCCATCGCTACCTGTGCCCATCATCATTATTTCCAACTTCCGCACAAACGAGCGGCAGAAACTGGCCAGTGCGTCGCCACACCCAATCGGCTACTCAGTACAAGATAGACTTGACAGTTTTGCCCATATCAATCCCACAAAATGCTCAGTCCAGACACGCAGACAGTCATGAATGATTGGTCATTTTGACGCCACACACATATGCCACAACATGCGGGCATAAGGGACTCAAACAAGCCCCAGCAATGCGTCAGCTGCGAGCAGTACGACTGGCCTGGAGAACTCGTCGCAGGCCCTCGCCTCAGCAATTTATCTGCAGCGGGGTGGCGATGACTCAGCCTCGCTGTTGCCGCTGCTCTCCCCGCTGCCGTCCCCCCCCAGGCCAGCGAGGGCCACCCCCGTCTTCACCAGGTCCACGACGCCCGGGTGGGCTTCGACCGTGAGCAGCGCCGCCTGTGTGGGATCCAAGATGCTCAGGAGCAGCTCCCGGAGGCTGTCCACCTTCAGCTGCTGCTCCTTCCTCACGTTGGACATAAGCCGGTCCCACACCGGCCCCATTTTATTTCTCAGCGCACCAGAGTCGCCGCCGGATGCCCGCACGATGGCCCTGGCCTGCGGATGCGGCGCCCAGAATGCATGTCAGCGCGAGCCACCGGTTTCGGTGCACAAGATGGGCTCGCAATGTCACCGCGTCCGCGGAGCGCGCTTGGCGGCGCTTCAGGACATGGCGCTGCGGGGACACAGCCGAACAAAGTTGCTCACCACATTTTTTGGGGGGGTCGTTTTTTTATTAACCTACTTGTTTGTGTATTAACCTACTTGTTTGTTTACTTACTCATGTACTTATCTATTTATTTATTTATTTGCTTAATTATTTATTGTCTATTTATTTGTTCTTTTACTTGTTTGTGTGCTTGCCTGTGTACTGGTCCATTTTCTATTACTTACTCAGTTACTTATGTGTCGATCTAATAGACACACGAGTGAAAGAAATGAATTTCATTTGTCTGTTGGCTCAAACTCGCGCACACGCACACACACACACACACACACACACACACACACACACACACACAGACGCGGGGGAGATCCTTTGGTTATCTTTTGACGTAATACATTGGAATTAAAAAAAAAAACAAAAAGACAGACGCAGCCCCACCTCGTCGTTGATCCTCGCTTTCTCAGCGCGCAACTCGTGCAGCCGCGCCAGGTGCTCCGCCACCAGGTCCCTCACGGCGTCCCTCTGCCAGCGGCTCACGCCCGCCCGCGCCAGCGCCCCCTGCCACCTCCGGACCTCCTCCAGGCTCAGGTCCAGCCGAAAGGCCTCCGCGCTGCTCCGCGCCAGCTCCGGCGGCCGCGGCACCCTCAGCGCCTCCAGCCGCGCGGCCGTGTCGGTGGCCGAGCGCAGCAGGCACCTCAGCAGCCGGGCCGGGCCCCCGGGCCCTGGACCGCCGGGCCCGAGAGCGCCGGGGTTGGCCGCCAGGACGCTGCGCAGGGCGCCGACCTGTAGGAACATCTCTCTCATGAGGTCGGCCGCCGTGGCGCGGCGTGCTGGGGCGTCGTCCGGCGGCTGGGATGGAGCGGGATTAGTGGAGTTGGTGGAGGAGGTGGGAGAAGGGCCGGGGCTTCTCAGGGGTGACGCCTGTAGTGGCGGGCTGCCTGCGGTGGACGTCACACGTGTGAGTGACCGCTGTTTCGAGACGCGGGAGGCAGCACACTGGGATTCGCGGGAGACAGGCTCGAAGAACTCTTTGAGGGGACGGCCTGCCAAAGAGGGCGTCGCGAAAGGGTGGCCGGGCGACAGTGGGAGGGGCTCCAGGTGCCCCCTGGAGCCGGATGTCCGGCGCGGAGGTTGGCCATGGAAACGCGCTGCGAATTGGAGGTCGCACCGGCATTTGCAATTTGCGATTTGCGTGTGCTTGCGGCAAGCCCTTGCATGACTGTGAGGGCCTGTTGGGGAAGCGCGGGGAGACGGGGGTGTGCTCATGTTCCACATTCCTCCGGCAGTTCTCGGTGACTTCCTACGCTAAGCGGATTTTACCTGCGTGGCCGCGCAGAGGCACCAAAGCCCCGTTGTGCAGCGCCACCACCATGGCCATCTGCTCTTTGGAAATGGTCTCCAGCCTGTGCTTCGTCTGTTTCGGTATATCATTTTCGCGCCGCGCCTGCTCGAAGACGGTCTCGTCGTCTGCGGCGCTGGCGACATCCGCCCCCTCTTGGGCTTCCGTGTGCTTAAGACAGTCCCTGAGAAAGGAAGGAGACACGCAGGTCATGAGCGCTTGTTTTCGTGAAAACGAATTTCAAAGCAGCTTTGATGACGTTGCAGCACTTCTTCTTGCCAGAAATCCCGTTTCGTGGATCTAGTCGATGACTATTGCATATTATCATCGCGTTATTGTACCCAATATTGTGAACATATTTGCCTATTGGAAAATCAGAAGAACGTACGATTAAATACGAACATCTTAGAATACGCATATTCATGAGATCCACTGTTGGGCTGTCTGGGGGATATTTCTGCAGCGTTGGTGGCCGTTGATACAACTTGGTCAGTGGTCCTTTCGAGTGCGCTGATTCGACGCGAGTCAAATCACCTATTATCGTCTTGACGCAGTCTACTGAGGATCATCTGGCTAATGGTGTGGTCCATCTTGCTCCTTTTCAATCGCCCTCCCTGCTCATCTTCATTGGTCTCTTCAACCCTCACTCTTCCCCACGAGCAGGCACCAGTCTCGTCCGGTTCAGCGACACTTCTCGATGCCATTCGGGGTTCACATGGACGCGCGCTTATGGCTTCTCCAAGCAAACTGTGGAACAGCGCACACCAGTTAATTGATGACTGGAAACAAGAAACTGTAAAGCGCGTTGCAGATTACGGCAATGACCTTTTTTCAGGCCGACATGCTAGCCAATAATTCCACGAAGCATAGCAAACCATTGTGCTATGAGCCCAGTACTTAGAAATTCCTTTACGCTGGCACATTTGCCCGACAAGCCGCTCAATTAGGACGGGTGCGGCTGAGACAGTCAAAAGAAAGCACTCGCCCCGACAAGTGTGGGTCGCGGGACCCTCTGGGAGCCAGAGGGTCTGAACAAAAGAACACATAACACGACCTGAAATTCGACAACTCCACAATCGTGGCAACAAACGCATCGAGCAACCATAGCAAGGGTCACAGCATGGGCCCAACCAAGATCACGCACCCCGAAGATTTCTGGTTTCGAAGGAACGGCTTCCGCCCTTGGTCACCTGGTGGCACCCCACACAAAAATCAGATGCGTTCCTCAACAAGCGATCGACCAACGTGCAAGCTGGACTCACATTCCGTCACGGCGAATCGTCACGCACGTGCAATCTCTCGCATGCCAACGCACATGTTGATTGGACGCATGGCCGTGCAGCCCCCCCTGCAGGCAGCACGGCTGTGCAGCAAACAGCCACATGTGCTGGCACTGGCATTGAGTTGTCACATGAGACCTCGCCAAGTGCGCAATCGCGCCACAGCAGCACAACGGCACAACCGGTCAGCCCTACGCGGCCCGACAGGCACGTAAAGCGCCGGCGCCATGCTCTGCGTGAATACTGTGCTCTGTTCATCGTCTACCTGGCAGGCAGAAGGCGGCCACAAGGAGGTCCAATTACGGAACGGCATTTCATTTGACATCGCCCGCCACATTGCCGCCATGAGGGAGCGCGATTTTCGCCATTCGTCGCATCGGGCGAGGCCAGCACTTGGCAGCCGGGGAGGGGCGCAAAGCGCTGGCGACATACGCTGCATGAACAATGACCTCTGTTCATCGGCAATCCGACAGGGGCTGACGACTTGACGGCTGGAACGCCCCCTAATTTGGCTCCGAGGTGCGACTTTGGCGTTCATCACACCGGGTGATGGCAGCACTTCGCAGCCCGGGGAGGGGCGCAAAGCGCCGGCGACATACACTGGATGAACAATGACCTCTGTTCATCATCCATCCGACAGGGGCTGACGGCTTGGCGGCTGGAACGAGCGACCCCTCATTTGGATCGGTATGCGAATTTCGTCGTTCATCCGCCGGGTCCGGGCGCCAACGGGCGAGCTATTCCCGTCTTCCGCGCCCAAATCGGTGACTACGAATTTGGTCCCCGTGGACCCCCTGGACGGGCACAAGACGCAACGAGGGGGCAGGTGCTGCCCACGGCCGCTGCCCGAGCACCGACGCCGGAACCAGCCGGGCGGCCACGGAGCACCGCCGGCGAGGCGGGGGCCAAACGCCGAACGCCGCCGGGCAGCCCACCGCCCATCCGGCCGTCGGCAAGGCCGCCACGGGATTCAATTGCAGACTGAGGCCCCGTCGATCGGTGGCTTCCGTCCCCAATGCTGTGCGCTTGGAGGACGGTAGATCCTCCAGCACACCCATCCAGGACACTCTGGCGCGGCACGCCGATCGGCGCGAGCACCATCGAGAGCCCCGCGAGCCGGAAAGAAAACACGAACATCTCCGGGAAGGCGTTTTCATCCCACCTTTGCGTCCGCACAACTCACCGCGCAGCCCGAAGGCGGCGCCCAGCTGCTCCGCCAGCGTGTTGTAATCGCGCTTGGCCCTTCGGCGGGATCCTCTCGATCCCCATGCGTGCGGCGCCGGGGCCAAAGCCGCGTCCCCGGCCAGCGTCGAGGATCGTCTGGCCATCGCTGGCAGCCTGCTGGTGCCGCCCCCTCCCGATCAGGAACCTCCAATCGCGTGGTCGAATTGTGTCCACCGGCCGTAGTGGCCCCCCGGGCAGCCTCCGGTGGGCCAAGAGGCCGCTTCTGCGAACAAGCACGGGCTGTCACCCTACAGGCCAAATGGCCAACGCGCTCCCTCACACACAAACACACGCAACGGGGCCAGCCCAGATCCACCCAGCAACGGACCCGAAGAGAACTCCAAAGGCCGAATCAGATCTCGCCGCGCCTACGACACCCCCCCCCCCCCCCCCCCCCCCCCCCCCCCCCCCCCCCCCCCCCCCCCCCCACCACCACCACACACACACACACACACACGCCCGCGGCGTCGCGCTTCCGTGCAGCTCACCGGCGGGACCGACACGCGTGGGTGTGCAGCCGGGAGATCCCAAACTCCGGCGGAGGTCCCTGGCGACGGAGGATGCCGGGCGTGCGCTCCCTGGCGCTCAGACTCTCCCCCCTGCGGCGCGCGCGGCGGTCCGCGGTGCCGGGGCCAGCCCTCGGGCCCTCTTCCACGCTTGCCGGCACCGCATCACTGCAATGGCGTTATGGCTCTTGGCACTGGGAGGAGGGATTGATGTGCGAAAAGGCCGGACAGGCGAATGCCATCATGCCTCCGGCCATATGCCCCGATGTACATTTGCTGTGAGACGGGCGTGAGGGGCGGTGTTGTCGAGTGCCGCGTGCGCGGAAGGGGCTGGTGCTCTGCCACGTGGGGGGCAGCGCCTGCTGTGGGCACGCGGCGGGGGCCAAAGGCGCGCATGTCTCACGCGGGCGCGCCGCCCGGAGTCATTGTCGTGTGGGTCGCTTCGCGCTGGTCGGCAACACCCGAGCTGGCCCGCTTGCGTGAGGGCGTGACAGAGCCACGCGGTGCATGACGCCAGGGCGCGGGTGGGGCGCACCTGCGGTTGTGCGGTCCCGCGGGCCCGCAAGCGTAAATCCGCTCCGCCTTTGGTGGTCCTCAGCCCGCGATCGCGAAATGTCGACGGAGTGAGAGGTCGGCAGGGCGTTTTGCGGACATGATGCGGTATACAGTAGGGGTCCCTATATAGCGCCACCCTGTGACATGGCCAAAAAGGGGGCGCTATTGGGGGCCGGGAGCGCTAAAAATTTGTATGTCTAATGCACTTAGTTGTAGTTTTGTGCATAAAATAGAACTCCCCATCACAAGAAGACGCAAAAGTATGCCCATTAGCCGTGTTATGGCCTGTTGAGATGCCAAATTGGTCCATCACGAGCGTGTACCTTGTGCCATCGCGCCACAGAAGTGGAACACCGTGTTTGGGGCTTGCACTGATGTTACACGGTGCCTATCACAATCATCGCATGGACTTGCACAGCAATTCCCGCATTATGATTGCGGATTGCGCCCAACCACATCATACCATAGCGAATGGGGGACAACCCCCACCCCACCCCACCCCACCACCATTCAGCATTTCTGCAAATATCCGTTCACGGACGGCCACACGCGTACATACTCCTGTGATGTCCTTGCCCCTAGTGTTTTGAGTCGTAAGGGGTGCATCACACAGCGAACGCTCCCCGTCGCTCCCCACTCGTGCGGCAGGTCGCCCGGAGCCAGGGACTCCCCTGTGAGGGAGTTGCATGGACCAGAATAGCAGGTCCAGCAATGGCGAGGGCCCACGGTCAACAACGTTGTTGACACAACTGTTACAGTTTGTTGTTGACAACAACTGTTAACAGTTTCTCGGCATTTAACACCTGGGCACAGAAGTCACCACAGAAAGGTGGGAATGGGAGGCTGAACGCGGCCTCACACTCTCGCCATTGCTGCCCCCCGTTGGCACCGAATGGTGCCACCCTCGGGTATTCTGATTGGCGCCCACGACTGTAATCAATCGGCCTTGACTCGGACGCCAGGCACCGCCGGCTACCACTCCTGAAGGGCAAGGGGGAGGCTCGCACAGAATACTCGTTCGTGACATTGGTCTCTATCAACCCTCGAGTCTGCGGCAACCTGTGCATGGAAAGAATGGACGCCGCGGCACTGGGCACTCCTCGCTGTCCCTCCACTCTGCCGGCAGCAAGGAGCTGGCGGGCAGTGCCCATGTGGCTGTGCATGGATGGAGTTCCGCTGCAGAACGCACACCTCCCCTGGCCTCCCGGGGAGGTCCCGGGCCTGGGCCGCATGGCGGACGCACCAGACGTGCCGTCCGCCCATCCGTGATATGCCAAGCTCGCGCAAACGGCCGGCCGCCGCGGCGTCTGTCTACCAGACACCTCTCTTGGGTGTCCAAAATACTAGTTTGATGTCCCACTGCGCAGCGAAGCTGCATAAAGTACTACAAAAATAGTGACAAGCCAAAAAGGGGGCGCTATTGTGGGCTGGGGGCGCTATTAGGGGCCGCTATATAGGGAACCCTACTGTACAAGATACGACGTTCTGGAAATCGGCCATAATGCATCCTGCATCGGAGTGCAAGCAGTGCTGCCACCCTCTATTCGTCACACTGTGACACAAGTGCAGTGGCCCTTAGCGATGTGGCGGACAAAGCGACCCAATTTGGCTGCCCAACCAGCCATGAACACGTGGCAGGTTTCTCAAGTTCTCTGGACCAAATGGCCCCCGACGGGGTCGCCTTGCGACTGATGGTGCGTGGCGTGGAATGGATACTTGTAGCCACTGCTTTGGCTGCGGGTTTGGGAAATATCCTCGAAGCAGCAAGGGTGCCGAACCGGGATCGGCACCAATCGATCGTGGATCGCCACCGCGGCTTTGTTGGGCAAACAAGATGCTCACCTGCGGGTTTCGGGATCCAGAATTTGGACGAGCTCACTGTTGCGGGCTTTTGAAAGCGCAGTGCTGCCATGGATAGGTTGGATATAGGCGCCAAGAACATCAATTTATTTTGCGAAGGAAGTTCTGGACGCCTCACCGTGCAAAGACCAGATCTGGTTCTAGAACAGCGCCAGAAATGGCTGTTTCGCCCATTCCTCAAAGTTGCATTTTCAGTGCCGTTTCTGCAGCTTTGAAGCAAACGCTCGCTGGAGAGTTCTCACGCCACCCATACAGAACGCAATTGTCACTGGCGTACAGACAGCCAGGGCCTCCAAGTGTATACCCACAACCTCCAGTGTCGCATTCAGCGAGATTCATGTCGTTTTGAGTGGGGTTGTTTTTAACGCCAAGCAGGCCATTGGCGGGAGATCCAGGGCAAACGGAGATCTCTGGACGCACGCAACTCTTCTCTGTTTTGTCTCGGGACACTAGAAACTTCCTAGCAAAGGCGGATCCCTGATATGTCGGTCGCATCCATGTGCAAGATTCCGAAGATCTTCAGAAATTTGGTGTCGGCCGGAACATACCCAATCGCCATTTTCTGGAGGCGTCCTACGCGATCGACGCTGGCCACAGGGCTAGCTCTCGAGCAGCGTTGGCGACAGCACCCTTTTGGCACCGCGGAGTCCCAGGGAGGCTTTTCGGGACGCCGGATGTCACTTTTTGGCATGGTTGGTCAACACCGATGAGATTCAAATTCACTAAGGAAAAAGGGCCAAATAACATTGCTCATTGGCCATTAGTGTGACCGCCTGTCAAGGCTGATGAGTCACGGCCAGAATTAGCGGGACCTCCCTTACAGGTTGTGCCCGACCCAAATTCCCCAACACAAACAGCTGAGGGACAATGCACAGCCTATAAATAGGCCAGCAAAAGCGGTGCAAGTTAATTGAAAATGGGCGGGACTACAGGCAGGCCCGGCAATCACCCTCGAAGCAGGGTGAACCTGATCAGTGACCTGACCACGCCCTTCTCGGCCTTGCACACGCCGATTTCTTTCTGAGTTCCACAAGGTTGCCGTACGACATCGAAGACAGCTGTGACGCATGGCACACTGCGGCAGCTGTGGGCGCGCACCCAAGGTACGACATTGCACCCGTGCATTCGCCCGTATTAGGTTGACATGGGTGGCGCGTACTCCACACATGGGTGTGACATGAAGGGTGGGGCCGGGCATAGCTACACACGACATCCTGCCAGGCTGTCATGTGAGGAACCCAGTTTTAATTTCAGGCCAAGCCTGGCCTATGGTGGGCATGGGCGACCCATGGCGCCTTGTTGTGCCCCTTGTTGTTGTGCTTTCTGTCGCCTCACAGTACCGCATCTGGTGTATCTTCCTGGTCTACCATCAAGCTCTTTTTCATTAGACCTTTTGTCGACAATGCACGTGGTACTCCTCAGTGTGAGTCTACCCCTCCTGTTCCGCCATGTCAGTCAGCGATATGACTCACAACACAGCTCTGTGCAACGTATGGCTCCATTAAAAGACGTTCGACGTACCATGCCACCATGACGGTCCCGTCAATCGTAGTAACATATGTTGCCCCTTTGTGGATCGACACAGACATCACCTTTCAGCTCTTTGCGTCGGATCACAACGTTGACAACATTCTCTGTCTATTTCAGGAAGTGACAGATTTGTCTGAGCTCCCTTCAGATGAATACGCTCATCTTTCTGAAGAACTGCCAGGGGTCGAGGGCAGCCGCTTGCCCAGGAGGTCCAGGTGCGCACACCACGTTCTTGTTGAAGTCATTTCAGTACATTTTGGTGGTAATTCCAGGTGCACACCCCAAGAATTGATTGCAGCGCATCTGGCGTATGGAGCCTCCTATAATTCCTTCTCGCAACACCCAAACTGCCTTACAGGCACATTAATGAGACTCCTGTTGGTGTAGTACAGCTGAAGATTTATCATGAACAGCCATGCTTTGAATAATTCCAACACCTTTCTCTTGTTGATACTTTTTCTTGTACCTTGCTCATCACGGTACATCTTTACAGTCTCACCCTCATGACCTGTACCTGATTGTTTCCCTATTCTAGTTAGTTCCTAACACTAATTCTTTCTTTCCTTCCCTTTGGTCATAGTGACTTGTTACGTGTAAGGTGTTACTGTCACACCGGGCGCTTACTGACACCTTTCTCATCCTTAACTGTCAGGCTGCCTTTTCTGAAAGTGACAGGTGCCATTTCATTAGTTTCGTGGCTGCGTAATGTTGTGGCATGCTTTGAGCACAGCCCGTCTCAAAATACGTTGTCTCCAGCACATAATTACCGCTTATCGGAATTCTCACAGCCTCTAATCATGCACACCATTCACGCACAAGTAACTTCACAATCAGTATCACTTTCCTTGTCCCTTTCTCTATTCATGACCAATAGTTTTTTCTCTATCCTTCCCGTTCCTACTGCCCATCTCAAACGTATTCCACTCGTCCTCATAACTCACAATCTAGGAGCAGTTCCGGCCAGCAACTCCGTGACACTCTATGGACGCCTTCCTCACGCCAGAACTCTCACGTCCCCCGCTCAGCTGAACCTCCACGCCTGCACTTGTAACGACTTCACCCTACAACCCGTAATCCTTACACACCAGAAATCGCATTAGCTTCCCTCTTTTCATCCATGCCCAGCTTCGTCAGCATTTAGAACCCTTAATCCCTTAATGCTGATCATTATATTTACCAACACGAGTTCAAACGTGTACAACGTGTACGGTTTTGGGTTATTTTCAAGTTTTCAGCATGCAGAACACTGATTAAGTGCATACATATGTGTTCTCAAAAAGTGTTATTTGGTCCTTTTTTTCCTAGAGAAACTCGATGTCCTGCCAAATCTGTTGTTCTCTGCCGTTCGCTACGAAAATTTGAAGGCGTTGAGTGACCTTTCAGAGGGTGGTCTGGTTGTATTTTCAAGAAAAATGGCTCGCGCGTGACACCAATAAGCTCTCATGTAATCCGGAAATTTAATTCCGGACGGAGGAAATACATTGTAAGGGAAGACACTATATCGCCAATCCTTTCGTCGATGCTAGGCGCAGTGCTACATAAAGGAGCTAGGCAATTTCAAAGCGCTTTTAAGGAAAATATATAGTCAAAATTGCAGCGATTATGATGGGCTGAAAATCGGGATGATCAAGGCCATTGCGGATGGTCGGGGCAGCCTCGATGGCTGCCTATTGAGGTATTCTGAGGCCTTCGCTCAAGATTGAATGCTGGAGTGAGGTTTGGAACAAGTAATGAGCTGTTTGCAGCTGATAAGTGGCGTTTTTGTATTTCTTCCCATCTTATGCCGCTTTTTTGGCAATTACATATTCTCTTAGCATCACAGGGCCGCGCCCCCCCTCCCCCCATTTGGCGCTATAAACTGGCGCTAAGCGTACCAAATTCGAAATAACGCCTTATGTAAGTTGTTTGTGTGTCAAATGATGCGTGTTTTTGGCTTTGGGGCACAACGAAAGCGATGGCATGAAGCAGCGGCTGGGATTTATCGTGTGGCAACACCACCTTTTTTCACTTGTCTTCTTATTTGATCTGCAATACGCCATTGCAAACAAACGCATTTGGACTTCTGCATTGTGTACAACGGCATGCTCGATGCCAACACAACCGCGATGGGCAGAGCAAAACTTGGAATCAGGGATAGACGATGGTAGTTGGTGAATAGGTGAATGTGAAAACAGCATCAAGAACAGGTAGTTCCGTTCAAGACTCTTTTAACATTTCTGCACAAGGGCTTTCAGCAATTGCCACTGCCAAATTCGAAGAGAAATGTCGCCAGTGGACGAGCTTCTGCAGCGACGAATTTTGATTTCCTTTTCAAATGCATCCGACCACCGTCTACACGTGTTACATTGGCGAATGGACAGAACGAATTGACGAGGGACAAAGAAACATTAGGATGCAGAAATGCCCGCCATAGCCTGCAAGGCGCAGCTGTCCGGTCCTGCATTTTGAAGGCAAACCGGAACGAAGAAGTTGGGCGAGGGACGCCAGGCGACACGTTAGTTCGATTGTTGAACGCCGCATCATGGAAACACAGGTGGAGAAAACCGGGATGCTCCCAGGCAACACCCTTATTTACATTGACACACAATGCGCACAATGGCCTCTCAAGATTAAGGCACGCATTCGGCAATGAAGCTTTCTCCACTGTCCTGGCGGGGTCACGAAAACCCACCATGAAATCACAGCAAAAAATTGGTAATTCTCAACTCAAGTTTCGACCGTCATTTTTCAAGGATGCCCGATACTGAATCAAAAAAGCCACCAAAAAATAGACACCAGAGATTCTGGCTGTCGGCAATTCACAAATAGCTAAGCTCATACATTAACTACTCAACAGTGGGCACCACTCCTGACAACATCTATCCATAGATGGCTGGGATTCACTAGCTCCTAAGATTCGGCAGATCCAAGCTTTCTTCTCCCTCTCTAAACGTTTCTCCACACTGAAATCCGCGGCCGATAAGAACCCCGCAAATCAAAAACCGATGGTCATCTCTGGATCACTGTCGGCCAGGAAGGCAATGGAACCCTCAAATGACAATCGATGGAGGAAGGTCCATCGACGAGTCGAAAACATCGAGGGGCACGGCAGGCCCAACGCCGGCTGGCGCATGGCAATTGGCGTCGAGGGCGGAGATGGCAGAGGCCAGCTTCATTATGTCCACTCCGCCGGGGTGAGCCTCCAGGGTCAGAAGCGCCGCCTGGGTGAGGTCCAGAACGTTGAAGAACAGCGTGCGCAGGGCCTGAGCCATGAGGTCGTTCTCCCGCCTCACGTTGCGCCTCAGCTGATCCCACGCCGGATGCACGCACTGGCGGACGGGAACAGCACTTCCTGAACATTCCTGGGTCGCGCTCGCCGCCTGTTCACAGACAGTTGAAGAATCTCGGACACAGTGAGCAGGCAGGTACTCCCAACAGCCGCACACTTTCTGCGCTTGGAAACATCTTGCAGGGTGCTGACTCTGATGGCGGATTTCGGATATGTCTCCAAAAATATGGGAAGCCACTTCTCGAAATCAGGTCTGGAGAATTTGTGTTTTTGTGGGGATCTTTACCCCAGAAAGGGCGCACATGGCATCTTCTCTGGAAATCTGCTTGCACATTATTCCTGGCAATGAGCAATCTGGGTGCCTTTCAGTCAAATCCCAATTGCTACGCCAGTAGCACACAAATTTGCCCCAACGACTTGTTAGCTGGCTCCACAATGGGGTAGCCAAGCCTTGCGACGACATTGCGAACCAACACTGCTGGGTGCCTTTGAAGACTTGCAGGCTATCCATGCAGTTTTGTCACGGCAATACACAAATGATCTTGCAGATGTGAGCTGGATACGCAACACATAGGTTTACAATTTGCATTCTTCTTTTTCTGCACAATGGAGTGGAAGCCCACACGGTCAGCCAGTCAACTCTGTCACCAATATCCCACCTGTGTATTCAGAACTGCTCTTTCTTCCTGTATCTTGAACAGCACGGACAAGTACTCAGTCCTCATGTTCATGATGGCGACCTTCTGCTGTCCCGTCAAGCTCAATATTGGCAGCAACCTTACCCAGTCGGTCATGCTGTCCTCGTCCAATTCCATTTGCGGTGCATACATGCCGTTCCCCCAATGCTCGCTCAGACACATTGGGTTGGATTCGAAAAGATCAGCGGTCATGTCTGCAACCCTACCCAGGAGGTTTCGCAGCGCACGGCCAACCTCTTCAGAAGGCAGCACACCGCTGATGAAGATGCCATTTGCATCCAGGAGGTTTCGAATGACCTGAACAAGGCTCTCCATTTCTTTCATCAGAACATGATGTGGTTTTGTCGCTTGGCATGTGGTGTCCAATCCGGCCCAAGGACTCGTCACGTCCAGTGGGAAGGAGGCATCCATCGACTGCGGCGATGCACAAGTATGGGACACGTCGACTGAACTGCCTTCCGGATTGAAATTGGACTGAAGAGCACCTACAAAGCGATGGAAACTTCAGCAGTCAAGTTAACCTCAGGCAACATAAAGTGCTCCTGGAAAAGCTCTGGCTCTGCTGTCCATGGTTTATCTGACTGAAGTTTGATGATCTCTGTGGCATACGCTGCAACATTCGAGTTCAAAACATTCTGGACTTGGGGGGAGTTCCATGTTCTAACACTGGCCACCTGTTTGAAATATAATGGGTATGACCCAGCTGGGTATGTGTGCAGTGAGCTGTCTTACCAATGCAACAGAACAGTGACGATGATTTACAACACATCACACATGATACTCAACTTTAACACACGACTAAACATGCCTACTCAAATCCACTTGAAAAATCACAAAGCGGGTGACAATACTGAATCCATGGCTTGAGCTAGCCTATCAGATGACTATGACTACTGGACTTGCTAATTCAGCAACTACGTACTGCACAACTGTGCCCAGTTGGGGCAAGAACTGAGAGACAAACCTTATGCTGGGCCTCCTGTTGCTAAGGGTGCGTTGAGGCATTCAACAAAGCACTCATTCATCTACATAATGCAATCAGTGGCGGCATAAGCATGCCTGGTCACAACATGTATCACCACATTCAATGGCTTTCGGCGGATGCAAACAGTCCTTTCAAGCATCCAAAAAAGAATATCCAATGCATGCCATATATTTACCAACTCGGGAGAAGAGTGCAAGGTGATCTGGGCAACAGCAAGCAGCCTACCTGCTTGTGTGACTGGAAAGTTGTTGATTCCTCCTTCCAAAGAGCGTACGATCGTCTGATGCTTTTCAATCATGCTCTGAAGTCTGCAGTTGTTGACCCTTAGAGCTGCATTTTCCTCCTGAACCACATTCAATGCGGCACACACATGCTGGAAGGAATCGTAGAGGCCTTCCATTTCTTTCTTCTTTTGCCTCTCACGCTCCCTGCCAAGACACAGCAACATTTGAGTCAGTTTGTCTCCATAGCGGCTACCACAGCTGGTGGTGACATCCACTGTGTTGATTCACATTCGGCCACACAGATTACCTTCCACACAAACCATTTTCTCTACAACATAAATACTAATAACAGGCTACTTGTGTTCTTATGCAATCCTTTAGAAGAAACAAAAGGCAAGGTACGTCTTTCCACTTGCTATTTCAATGGTTCACTGCAGTAGTATTTCAGTTTCCGAGGTATGCAACTAAAGAACATATGAAATTTAATCATGCACTTCCCCCTGCTTTGCTTTGCACTAAGAAGTACCTGCATTGTCTTTGCATTTTGGAGAAAAGTCCAAGGCAATCATGAGAGTGCGCCCATTGTGTGGTGCTTCTTTCATCTGCCATGAACATCTTCTTACCTATATCGACGTTGGTTGAGCTTGCTCATGAGCAGCTGGCGGGCCGAGCGCCCACTTTTCTTCACCCCCGACTTCTGGCAATGCATGCCTTCCGTTCAGCTCAGTCCACGAGCTGGAGCCGTTTCTTTCACTGGAAACATAAAGCTATGTGAGCCTGATTGTGCAGCACGTCAGACACAGCAGGAAATGGATGGCATTGGCTTGTTTCAGGTGTTATCTTCATAGGTACTCTAATGTCCCACTGCAATGGTCACATGCTTGCAGGCTTGCTGAGCACGTGCATTTATGTTGCTAAGCACAAGTTGAATTGTGTATTTCTGCATTGATCAATATGCATATCTGGAGTCACTTTTACCAACAAAAACTAAATGACTTAAATGACATAAAATACAGAAAAAAATTGCGAAAATGAGACTGGGTCTCAAACACGAGCTGGCCTCGCGCACGCAACCCTAGTCCAGAGACTGAAATACAAGGGAAGCCAGGCACCTGCCACTGGTGGCCTGTGGTCCAATGGATGCAGATGCGATCGTGAACACTCCTGGCTGCAACAGCACAGCACTTTAAGGATGTGTCAATGCAGCAATGTACGGGCTTGTATCGCAGCATTGTTGCAACTGGCATGAGTAACACCAGTGCTGGCAATCGGCAAGCACTGACAGTCTAGGATCGCATTGTGGGATGGGATCGTGGCATCGCGCTGTCACTTGGCAGGCAGCGATGGATCCAGAGTGCCTTGGGGATGTGCCAGGGTGATATGTGTGCAGGAAGTGCGCTTGCAATAGCTCCACAAGGAGTGGGAGTG